TGTTGGTGCTTGGTTTGTTTATGTTGGTGCTTGGTTTGTTTATGTTGGTGCTTGGTTTGTTTATGTTGGTGCTTGGTTTGTTTATGTTGGTGCTTGGTTTGTTTATGTTGGTGCTTGGTTTGTTTATGTTGGTGCTTGGTTTGTTTATGTTGGTGCTTGGTTTGTTTATGTTGGTGCTTGGTTTGTTTATGTTGGTGCTTGGTTTGTTTATGTTGGTGCTTGGTTTGTTTATGTTGGTGCTTGGTTTGTTTATGTTGGTGCTTGGTTTGTTTATGTTGGTGCTTGGTTTGTTTATGTTGGTGCTTGGTTTGTTTATGTTGGTGCTTGGTTTGTTTATGTTGGTGCTTGGTTTGTTTATGTTGGTGCTTGGTTTGTTTATGTTGGTGCTTGGTTTGTTTATGTTGGTGCTTGGTTTGTTTATGTTGGTGCTTGGTTTGTTTATGTTGGTGCTTGGTTTGTTTATGTTGGTGCTTGGTTTGTTTATGTTGGTGCTTGGTTTGTTTATGTTGGTGCTTGGTTTGTTTATGTTGGTGCTTGGTTTGTTTATGTTGGTGCTTGGTTTGTTTATGTTGGTGCTTGGTTTGTTTATGTTGGTGCTTGGTTTGTTTATGTTGGTGCTTGGTTTGTTTATGTTGGTGCTTGGTTTGTTTATGTTGGTGCTTGGTTTGTTTATGTTGGTGCTTGGTTTGTTTATGTTGGTGCTTGGTTTGTTTATGTTGGTGCTTGGTTTGTTTATGTTGGTGCTTGGTTTGTTTATGTTGGTGCTTGGTTTGTTTATGTTGGTGCTTGGTTTGTTTATGTTGGTGCTTGGTTTGTTTATGTTGGTGCTTGGTTTGTTTATGTTGGTGCTTGGTTTGTTTATGTTGGTGCTTGGTTTGTTTATGTTGGTGCTTGGTTTGTTTATGTTGGTGCTTGGTTTGTTTATGTTGGTGCTTGGTTTGTTTATGTTGGTGCTTGGTTTGTTTATGTTGGTGCTTGGTTTGTTTATGTTGGTGCTTGGTTTGTTTATGTTGGTGCTTGGTTTGTTTATGTTGGTGCTTGGTTTGTTTATGGTGGTGCTTTGTTTATTTATGGTGGTGCTTTGTTTATGTTGGTGTTTGGTTATTTATGTTGGTGCTTGGTTTGTTTATGTTGGTGCTTGGTTTGTTTATGTTGGTGCTTGGTTTGTTTATGTTGGTGCTTGGTTTGTTTATGTTGGTGCTTGGTTTGTTTATGTTGGTGCTTGGTTTGTTTATGTTGGTGCTTGGTTTGTTTATGTTGGTGCTTGGTTTGTTTATGTTGGTGCTTGGTTTGTTTATGTTGGTGCTTGGTTTGTTTATGTTGGTGCTTGGTTTGTTTATGTTGGTGCTTGGTTTGTTTATGTTGGTGCTTGGTTTGTTTATGTTGGTGCTTGGTTTGTTTATGTTGGTGCTTGGTTTGTTTATGTTGGTGCTTGGTTTGTTTATGTTGGTGCTTGGTTTGTTTATGTTGGTGCTTGGTTTGTTTATGTTGGTGCTTGGTTTGTTTATGTTGGTGCTTGGTTTGTTTATGTTGGTGCTTGGTTTGTTTATGTTGGTGCTTGGTTTGTTTATGTTGGTGCTTGGTTTGTTTATGTTGGTGCTTGGTTTGTTTATGTTGGTGCTTGGTTTGTTTATGTTGGTGCTTGGTTTGTTTATGTTGGTGCTTGGTTTGTTTATGTTGGTGCTTGGTTTGTTTATGTTGGTGCTTGGTTTGTTTATGTTGGTGCTTGGTTTGTTTATGTTGGTGCTTGGTTTGTTTATGTTGGTGCTTGGTTTGTTTATGTTGGTGCTTGGTTTGTTTATGTTGGTGCTTGGTTTGTTTATGTTGGTGCTTGGTTTGTTTATGTTGGTGCTTGGTTTGTTTATGTTGGTGCTTGGTTTGTTTATGTTGGTGCTTGGTTTGTTTATGTTGGTGCTTGGTTTGTTTATGTTGGTGCTTGGTTTGTTTATGTTGGTGCTTGGTTTGTTTATGTTGGTGCTTGGTTTGTTTATGTTGGTGCTTGGTTTGTTTATGTTGGTGCTTGGTTTGTTTATGTTGGTGCTTGGTTTGTTTATGTTGGTGCTTGGTTTGTTTATGTTGGTGCTTGGTTTGTTTATGTTGGTGCTTGGTTTGTTTATGTTGGTGCTTGGTTTGTTTATGTTGGTGCTTGGTTTGTTTATGTTGGTGCTTGGTTTGTTTATGTTGGTGCGTGGTTTGTTTATGTTGGTGCTTGGTTTGTTTATGTTGGTGCTTGGTTTGTTTATGTTGGTGCTTGGTTTGTTTATGTTGGTGCTTGGTTTGTTTATGTTGGTGCTTGGTTTGTTTATGTTGGTGCTTGGTTTGTTTATGTTGGTGCTTGGTTTGTTTATGTTGGTGCTTGGTTTGTTTATGGTGGTGCTTTGTTTATTTATGGTGGTGCTTTGTTTATGTTGGTGCTTGGTTTGTTTATGGTTAGACTTGGTTTGTTTATGGTGGTACCTGGTTTGTTTATGGTGGTACTTGGTTTGTTAATGGTGGTGCTTTGTTTATTTATGGTGGTGGTTTGTTTATGTTGGTGCTTGGTTTGTTTATGTTGGTGCTTGGTTTGTTTATGTTGGTGCTTGGTTTGTTTATGTTGGTGCTTGGTTTGTTTATGGTTGTGCTTTGTTTATTTATGGTGGTGCTTTGTTTATTTAAGGTAGTGGTTTGTTTATGTTGGTGCTTGGTTTGTTTATGTTGGTGCTTGATGTGTTTATGGTGGTACTTGGTTTGTTTATTGTGGTACTTGGTTTGTTAATGGTGGTACTTGGTTTGTTTATGTTGGTGATTGGTTTGTTTATGGTGGTGTTTGGTTTGTTTATGGTGATACTTGGTTTGTTTATGGTGGTACTTGGTTTTGTTTATGTTGGTGCTTGGTGTGTTTATGGTGGGACTTGGTTTGTTTATGGTGGTACTTGGTTTGTTTATGTTGGTGATTGGTTTGTTTATGGTGGTGTTTGGTTTGTTTATGGTGATACTTGGTTTGTTTATGGTGGTACTTGGTTTGTTAACGGTGGTGCTTTGTTTATTTATGGTGGTGATTTGTTTATGTTGGTGATTGGTTTGTTTATGGTGGTGTTTGGTTTGTTTATGGTGATACTTGGTTTGTTTATGGTGGTACTTGGTTTGCTAATGGTGGTACTTGGTTTGTTTATGTTGGTGCTTGGTTTGATTATGTTGGTGCTTGGTTTGTTTATGGTGGTTCTTTGTTTATTTATGGTGGTGCTTTGTTTATGTTGGTGCTTGGTTTGTTTATGTTGGGGCTTGGTTTGTTTATGTTGGCGCTTGGTTTGTTTATGTTGGTGCTTGGTTTGATTATGTTGGTGCTTGGTTTGTTTATGGTGATGCTTTGTTTATGTTGGTGGTGCTTTGTTTATGTTGGTGCTTGGTTTGTTTACGTTGGTGCTTGGTTTGTTTATGGTGGTGCTTGGTTTGTTAATGGTGGTACTTGGTTTGTTTATGCTTGGTTTGTTTATGGTGGTGCTTTGTTTATTTATGGTGGTGCTTTGTGTGTTTATGATGGTATTTGGTTTGTTTATGTGGGTGCTTGGTTTGTTTATGGCGGTGCTTGGTGTGTTTATGGGGGTGCTTGGTTTGTTTATGGTGGTACTTGGTTTTGTTTATGTTGGTGCTTGGTGTGTTTATGGTGGTGCTTGGTGTGTTTATGGTGGGACTTGGTTTGTTTATGGTGGTACTTGGTTTTGTTTATGTTGGTGCTTGGTGTGTTTATGGTGGTACTTGGTTTGTTTATGGTGGTGCTTGGTTTGTTCATGTTGGTGCTTGGTGCGTTTATGGTGGTGCTTGGTGTGTTTATGGTGGTACTTGGTTTGTTTATGGTGGTGCTTGGTCTGTTTATGGTGGTACTTGGTTTGTTTATGGTGGTACTTGGTTTGTTAATGGTGGTACTTGGTTTGTTTATGTTGGTGCTTGGTGTGTTTATGGTGGTGCTTGGTGTGTTTATGGTGGTACTTGGTTTGTTTATTGTGGTACTTGGTTTGTTAATGGTGGTGCTTTGTTTATGTTTGTGCTTGGTGTGTTTATGGTTGTACTTGGTTTGTGTTGGTGCTTTGTTTATTTATGTTGGTGCTTGGTGTGTTTTTGGTGGTGCCTGGTGTGTTTTTGGTGGTACTTGGTTTCGGTACAGCGTTACTTTATTCATGTTAGTTCTTGTTTTTTTAATATGGTGTTTCGTTTGATGATGGTGGTACAAAGAGAATCCCAATGATGAGTTTGATTATATGTAATAAATAATTGATACACGACTTGTTTATTTATGGTGGTGTTTTGTTTATGTTTGTGCTTGGTTTGTTTATGGTGGTGCTTTGTTAATGGTGGTGCTTTGTTTATGGTGGTACTTGGGTTGTTTATGGTGGTACTTTGTTAATGTTGGTGCTTGGTTTGTCTATGTAGGTGCTTGGTTTGTTTACGTTGGTGCTTGGTTTGTTTATGTTGGCGCTTGGTTTGTTTATGTTGGGGCTTGGTTTGTTTATGTTGGTACTTGGTTTGTTTATTTATAGTGGTGCTTTGTTAATGGTGGTGCTTTGTTTATGGTGGTACTTGGGTTGTTTATGGTGGTACTTTGTTAATGTTGGTGCTTTGTTTGTTTATGTTGGTGCTTGGCGTGTTGATGGTGGTACTTGGTTTGTTAATGTTGGTACTTGGTTTGTTTATTTATGGTGGTGCTTTGTTAATGGTGGTGCTTGGTTTGTTTATGGTGGTACCTGGTTTGTTTATTGTGGTACTTTGTTTATTTTTGGTGGTACTTGGTTTCGGTACAGTGTTACTTTATTCATGTTAGTTCTTGTTTTTTTAATATGGTGTTTCGTTTGTTGATGGTGGTACAAAGAGAATCGCAATGATGAGTTTGATTATATGTAATAAATAATTGATGCACGACTGAAAGGATCAATTACGAAATAAACCTATGTAAACCTATACCTTCAGAAAGTAGTTTTTAGTCGGTTGTTAGATCTATTTGTTTCTATATTTACTTACTTATTTGATTTTTTTTTTTTTTTTTTTAAATATATGCATAATTATAATGTGTTTTAACATGAAAATGCAGTAACGATATACTTAACAGTGTTTTATATGTATCTTAGTCATGTTTCTATTTTATATTTCAGCACCATAAGGCTAATTTTCTGAAACACATCAGACTGATCAGAGGTATTCCTGAAGGAACAGCGCAGTTTAACGTGTCAATTCAATTAAATATTAAAATATTTAGTCATAAGCGTTGTTGTGAGTGTCTCAAAAGAATTGTGATGAACATATAAAAAGGAAGTTCTATTATTTAACTGACGTCGTTTGAATTTTCTTCATCTCGCTCTTTAACACCTCTGAGTAGCCGTTTCCATAGTCCCTATATCAACATTCAGCAGCTGAAAAGACATTAAAAGAAATAAATCTGATGTCGTTTTTAAAATGAAATTAATTTTGATAGACTAAATATGATTTTCACAAAATATGTATTTCCGAATTACCAATGGAAACGTCAAAGGGTGAGATCAATCATAGAGGTATTTTTGTAGGTTTGAAATTTAAATTATATCGGCTCCTTTTCATATGATATGTAGACATTAATTTAAACTGTTTTACTTCAGACAGTTTGTCACAAACATATATCATGACGTTTAATGAATATCAATTTATCGTATAACATACGTTGGTATGTTGCAATATTCCCAGGTCACATGTTCGTCTGTCGTGTAACACCAGGGCTGCGAGGAGGCGTGTCCGTTGTCATGGTTTCCAGGATTCCTACAGTAGTTGACATTCCCTTTTAGGCGAGTGCTGTACTTGTTATGGTGAGGATACTGGGAGGCCCATCCCTGACACACTCTTCCAGATACAGTGCGGCCCCAGCTTCCCGTGTAGTCTGTCCCAGACTGGGTCTGCTTACACTCTACGATAATACATACGTTATTTCTTTTCATGATATATAAATGACTATCGTGTCTCTACACAATAGATACATCTGTATACAGACACAGCCTGGTAAAAAGCAACACCTGTTTTTGATTTTTCAGATTTATCAAACTTTTTATATACATGTGTTTTACAGAAGTCAATATTTTATATATTTGAAAATGTTGAATAAAAGTGGGATAAGGATAACAAAGAAACATATATAAATCTGCGGATTTTTTCTCACTTAGAAATAGTATAGTAAATGGTTTTCTGTCTACCGTTCATAAGTACAATAGAATCACGACGTTTTTGACAAATGCGAAGAACGAATGTGAACTATCAACATGTTCTGCTTTACGGGTGAAATAAATGTTGGATATTCAGGGAAAACCTCAAAGTATCATCAATGTATATGTATTATCAAATGTGAAGTTTGGTAAATACTCCAGTGTAGTAGCAAATTTGTTATAAAACAAACTCTTATTGTATAAAAACCCTTAATTTGAATCTGAGCAGAAAATCTTAAGCTTTGAATGCAGATTATTCATCGTACCGTTCTTATCGGTCAATAATAATCTTGATTTGTTTTTACTGCAACATATATTTTGGGGGCATTTATCATAGTTTTAACTATATCTATTTAATCAAGTTAATTCAGATAAGTTTTGAAATTAAAATTTCAATTGTACAACAAATGTGCCTTCGTTTAGCAATGAACAAAATATATCCTTCTCAATAAAACACGTACTTCCCCACTGAAAGAGTAATTCATTTACAACTACACGATTTCTGAAGAATCATATACAAATACACGATTTCTGAAGTCAACGGGCACTAGTTGTAACAAGAGCGTCGATAGGTTTTACTTATCCGGAAAAATTAAATAAATAAACAAATCACCATGGCCCTAAATGCCCACATTTGTCGATGGGCCGTTAAACAAAAACAAACAATCAAGCAAACAAACTTACCCGTTATTGGTGGGCTGGTGAGGGTGTACACCGATTTTTCTACAACGAAATAATCCGTATATATAGTTAACAATGACAGAAACATCATGTCTGTTGAAGAACATAACACTTCCGTGGGTAATTTCTTCTGACGTTTGAGGCTATTTAGATCTTATCGCGGGACACACTTTAGTAATACCCATTGTTAAACAAACCTTGTCAATTGTGTTAACTAAATATTTCGTTGTATGTACTTTCCTGTTTCCATAGAAACAAGCAAACAATGTCTGTTTGTACGTTTATATAAGGCTTTATATAGAATCAATATTTAATGTTACACAGTATGTAATAAGTTTGTTCAAAATAAAGACAAAGCTATAATGAAGAAGTAATAACAATTTCCTGGGTGTCATCTACTTTGCCACTCGATAGACAAGATAGATATCACATGACGCATAGCATTTATCTCGTAAATTGGAGTTTAAAGATTCTTATCTTTCAGATACTGTGTGTTGTATCTTACTGAACCTACGGTAAAACGTTCTAGTTGCTAGTTGGTGAACACAATGGACAAGAACTATTGTTTTACTCTATACACAAACAACGTACGCACTCACGTGTTATAACGTCTGGTCTCTGTCAAGTTATAATTAAGTGAAAGATATGCCTGACAAAGGGCCAAGTCGGTCTGTTATGGTTTCTACACATTTATAGTAGGTTGTTTTGTATCAAGTGAAACCTTGAAACACACACATTTTCAAACTAATCAATCAAATAAAGGTTTTGTCATTCAAAATTTCGGAGATCAATAAGTAATTATCACTTGTCTTACTGCACGTATGACTGAAAGAGATTTACACTTACTTGGTGTGTAACAAATGTTAAAATATCCACTGCAACCATGGTCAGTCCATATACTACCTCCAAATCGTCCAAAGCTGAAACCATTCCTACATTCGGCCGCATTAGTCTTCCTGGTTAGTCCTACATAAGTTATGTACTTGGCATTTTCAATTCTACATTGTACAAACGTGTTTCCAGAGCTGGAGCAAGTGATCTCTGTAGTTGTTTCACAGACTGGCTTCTCCTCGTCTGTTTAAATTGAATATTGAAAGTCATTATAGAAATATGAAAAGACGATGAGTTCTGAGAATGACCGAACGAACAGGGTTTGGACCTGACATTCCGAATGATCATATTAGGTAGTTATATTGGTCGATTTTTTAGATGAAGTTTATTATCAATAAAAATGAAGTCACTATATTCATACTTGTTTTTAGCTGTGGTGTTCTACAAATTAATGAAAATTTCTCGTATATTGATTTTAAATTAACATTTTATAAAAGTTGAAAGAAACCTTTTCGATAGCGATAACTCACCAGAGAAAAAATAGCATTTAATGCCGTTAGGAAAACTTGACAACAGTACAAGAAAAAGACATCAAGATCTGACACAAACTAAAGAACATTTAAATGTCATATATATCTTTAAGTAACATATTAAACAAAGGCTCGCCAATTACTTATTTTTCATTCTTGCTTTCAAATAACTCTTGGATCTAAGGTAACATATATATATATCGCATGAAGAGCCCCAAGAAGGGCGAGAGCGCTAGCCGATTATACTAGTCTTCGTGGTTTGTTTTATTTACATATATACATAAATATCTTTCACGATACACAGTATTTACGTTTAACATAAACCAATGTCAATTCTATTTCATCTCTTTGGAGTTTCGTTTCGATCATTATACATCGTGAACAAACAGTTTACATAAATGATTGAACAGCAAATTTTGCGGGAACAAGATCAGGCGATAAACGTCAATCTGAAATCATCCTAAAATTTTATCAAATGTTAAAGTTGACGTCACGACATGATCTTTCCACATTTAAATATGCAGCATGACGGCAGGACCGGCATTCTAGGAAATCCAAATTTATTTTAATTGTCAAATTTATATTAGAACTGCTAGATCGACACAAAACTACAGATACATTCGTTACGAAATCTTACGGCACATGGGTATGTCGCAGTACTCCCAGATTGTGACGTCTCCTTTTTGGACGTAGCACCACGGCGACTGACGTTGATCAGCGTTTGGATTTCTGCAGAAGCGGTGATCTCCAATAGACATAAAGATGCTGTTTGTTGTGCTCCATGGGAGACAATCGTTCCCGAGAGCTGACTGGGAAATTGTCCCTTGGTAATTGGATCCCGTAACGTCATCGCGACATTCGTACGCCACTAGCGAAGTATTATGAGATTAATGTGATTAAACACAAAATATGCGATTGTTGAAATATGTCTTGCTGTATTTTATATGATAACTTCCAGATCATCCCAGTACAATCATACTTATTTTCGTTTACAGAAAATGAAAATAAATGTTAAACATAATATTGAAAATATGTAAAGCTACACATAAAGCAAAAACATAAATTGTTTCATCAATGACCAACTGTATGTTCCTCCATTTCTGATCAAACGACTGTGGAACATATTTTTTGTTTATAGTTTCAAGTTTCAAATAGTATGACAGAAGTTTTCTAAAAAGAAGCAAAGATAAAATCATAATTATCTAGTTAACAGACAAGAAACAAACACTACAACGTACGGTGACAGGAATTAGTGGGATCTCCTTGGTAGCCTCGTTTACAGACACACGTGTGTTTCCCGTCCTTTTCACCGCACTCCGCGTTACTCCCACAGACCGGACGTGTACTCACTACCACAACTTTGATGTCTTTGCCCTCTATCTTACACTGTTTTACAGTTGTACAGTCGTCGCTGAATGTTGCACCAATCTATGAACGTACAACGACACAAACCCTCACAGGACGTACATATTGTGAACGCATTTCAAATTCAAAGTGAAGGTTGATTCAAAATGTAAAAATGACACCATAGCAACAACAAAAAACAGAATCAAATTAATCAACCTAGATAACTTCAAAACATAAACGAACGGTAAGAATTTTCTACACTTCATATGATATATTTGTCATATCTTCGGATTAGTTAGTCAAACTCAAATATCACGTACTAACTGTGTCGCAAACAAAAGGGAAAGTTCTTCAAACAATCAAAAGACCTTATTAGACCAAATACCTGGTCTTTGTTTTTAAGTTATTGGAGGTAATACTTTCTTAATTCACAGGAGGAAGACAAAGCTTTACCGGGTAGTATCTTCCTTTTTCATCCAAACAGCCGCATTCGGAGGCCTTAACACATTTTTGGTTACTCAAAAGATATCCATGCTCACATTCACAACCCTCCAGAGTTCCAAGTGTACATTTTCGGGATGCATCAGGATCTATGCACGTTGAAGGACATGCGGAACCCTCTGGATTGTACATTGAGTGGTCGGCACACTGAAGAGCTACAAAAGAAGAAATCATATAAGGCAAATATTTTTGCATAGGCTATTTACTTCATTATCAAAGTGCTTGGGACAAATTATAAAAAAAATATATCCATAAACAATTTAATAAGTAAAGGATTCGATACTATTTGATACTGCAAAATGTCTATTGTTTTACTTCGTATTAATTTTCATTTATTTTTCTGGTGATACTTTCACGACAGATAGTAACATATTCTCATAAAAGATTTGAATTACGAACTTAAAACCGCGACCGATGATACAGTGAATCAAGATTTTACAATTATACTCATGAAGTAGGAAACTTACGACAGAAGTCAGTGGAGCGCCACATTATTCTGTAGCCATTGATAAGACAGGAATCGGCGAAGGCGGCTAAGTTGTCACACAGCTTGGTGTTAAGGCTGGAATTCACTTCTCCTTTGTAAACACAGAAGTCGTACACACACGACTCGAACTTTTTCATGGCGTCACCTGGGTAAATGTCTATACAGGTCTTGAAAGGACTGGCTTCCGTATTTGACGGATTGAGAAATCGACAAATACTGTTTGTTTCGGCTTCCTTCCTTACTTGTTGACTGCATGGGTTGAAGTGCGTGTCGGTCATGCAGCTTTTGATTGATAGGAGATAATAAACATATCTAAAACATTCATTCAGATATAAGATTTATAAATGAAAAGGTAATACACAAATTAATTAAAATTGAGCTTCATATCTATCTAGTTTTGATATATCAACGGTATTCAAGATGGGACTGATTTAATCACATCTTTAGCCAAATACAATCAAATTGTTAGCGCCTGCCACTTGTTGAATATAACACGAAATACGAGACTGAGTTAGAATCTTAAGTGCTAATATTCAACATAGATTTCAGATTTATATCCGAGATGACTTACTGTTGAAATCTCATGTCAGAGTCATCAGTAACTTGGTACACTTCCACGTCATGTCGATCATCCTTTTGGCCGTTGCAGTTGCCACATATTCCAGTGAAGGACTCACTGATTTGACTTGGTACTCTGACCCAGGCGTTTGACACTCCATCAAACTCCACTACCAGCCCACATTTACTTGCGAACCGCACATAGGTTCCGCTAAGGACAATCTCGAACCTGGTGTCATGATATGGTAAGTACGTCAGTTCACCGTCAACCTGTCCAAATACCATTAAAGTGCTTTTTTTTGTATTTGGATATATCAAGATTCATAGCTTGATGGTACTAAAGTTCAATGAAGATTGACAATTTTTCGATATTTATGAATTCTTTCAAAATATTATATCCGTATATTTCCAATGAAACGCCTTCAAATAAGACGCAAAAAATATTTAAAAGAACATTGAATATGAACAGTACAATAAATGTTAATTAAGCGTAGGAAAGATATAATTGGAACTTGTCAATACCTGTTGCGAATTTCATGAGAACGCAGCAAAATCAAAAAATAAGCAGCACGGGTGGACAATGTGTTAATACTAAAAATGCCTACCACAGTTTGTGTTTTAGGAGAATCAATACCAGGTCACCTTTTTCCGAGCGAAACATTTATGATTAACGAAAAAAAATAAAGGTATTGTCATTGTAAACAGACGTTATCGATAATTTCGTGGTAAACCAAATAAGACCATAGTTAAAACGAATGGCGGTAAATAAAAGGTACAATTTTCAAAAAGAAAAATAGGGTGATTGTTTTAGATTTCATGAGCAGTTTTAAGAGAGAAAATTATTATTTTTATTTTGTTGTGTCTACTTACATACACGTTTCGATCTCGATGAAGACGAATGACTCTCCCAAACATCTTCACGTCCACAAGTCGAGTATAAGACACTTTAGAGTTGGACCCCCGGCGTTCATTTTTCGCCTCCACAGCAAACGAACACGTGTCACCTGGTTTTCTATATTCAGATAGTGTGTATTTACACGTGCCCATAAAGTCGATCTGCTCCCCGTCAAATGTTGTATAGTGGGGGTCACCACTCACTAAACAGTTACACATAGCTACAAAAAAAGGTAGTTTTTCCATCATTTTGAACCATAACCATTCAAGGGTGAATAATAAAATGTGTCAAAATTAAGTCACAATATAATTACAAAACATTACACAAAAGTATAACATTGTATTTCAACCGTTTCAGAACAGAACTAGGAACCTCTCGATACACTCATATTATTTGGTGATGGCGATGTTTTACTTAAGACTTGTGAATGGTACTTTAAATGTTTGTGATATAGGACTAGCAGTTGTATAAATGGTGTTTTCCCTCTTTACGCTTTGTTTGCGCTGATACAGTCCGGACATTATAACTAACTAATCTTTTGTATTTTGTCAGACATTCTTATAGCTGAAATTTGCGAGAAAAAGTAGATTACAGAGCTAATAAATCGTTGATATTTATTAAAATTATCGTTAAAAGAACAAAATTATACACGGTATTGAATTGACCTATGTATTATTTACCGGTACTGATAACTATATGTAATGTGTTCACCCCATCGCCATAACTTTGCTTTATTTTTTTGCGAATTAACAGGTAGCAAAATGAAACTACGGTGAAAATTAAACGAAACAAAACTTCTTCTCTTTACTATATCTTGAAGTAAATCACAAAAGAAAGTTTTCGGAAAAATTAAGCGTTTTCGTAATCTTAACCAAATGACAAGCTTAAGCAAAATATTTTACTCACCCAGACCTCTAAATCGCCAGGCACCTGTAGCCCACAAGCCGGTGGTAAAGGCTACGTTGGTAATCGTTTTCGGGTTTGGATCCTGCCATTCCATCACCTTGTCCCAGCCGTTAGAAGTATTTCTGTGCAGAATAATTCGACCACCATTCCAACTTAAATAAAATGTTCTGAAAGTCGAACAGCTGAGGAGAGCCCCATTGTGCGTAGCCTTCGGCTTTTCACCCCTATTTGTTCTAATAACTGACTTGGTATTACTCCATCCACCTATGACAACCTCGTACACTCGCTGATCGTTTGATATCAGTCCCACGTGCGCGTCGCTGCATGCCTTTACATGGAAGACAATAGAATTATCCGGATTCGGTCGAAAACCGTAGTCTTTTAATTTTGTGTACGTGAAATGTGGCGGACTTTGCTGCTTCGTCTCTAGTTCAATCATGGTGCCTACGACATGAACACATATAACAAAATCTAGCAACATAGAAAAAACACAGGAGATTAAATCGTACGTGCGCATGCAAGTTTTGAATAATATAAGCAAAGGAGGAGGCTAAACATTTTAAGTTGAAAAAATAACAAGTGGAAGATGTGAGTTATTGTTCTTCCCTTTTGGAACATTTTTCTAACTGTTCGTAATTTTTAAAACTCATTTCAAATATGTTTAATCATTCTCTGCATCCGTTTCCGTTCATCGTATTTTGTAATAAGCTTGACATATCGACCGAAATGTTAGAAGATTTGAAATCCATACAATTTGTCTATTATCAAAAACATATTTAAGATGTAGATCAGCCTTGTAGAAATTACTGAGAAAACAATTTACCATACATATCGTCGAGAAATCTTTCTGACAATGAAAGTTACTTGAAAATATACAAACTATATCATTTGTTTGAATCATTACCAACACATTCATGAGTGTTACATGCGTCTTCCTGGACAATGCCTCCATGGCAACTTGATTGTGATTGGCTGTCACAAGGACGCTGACGACTTCTAATCCCGCCTCCGCATTGAGCAGAACACGTACTCCAAGCAGACCAACCAGTATCAGTTACTTTGACTGTAGTTATAATGTTGAATTAAATTAAGGATTCTATATCCTAGATCATAAAGCACAACCAGTGGATTTTTATGCATAACGTTTTAATGGCTGATTAAAGAGACCAAGTACTGTATATTTTGTAGTAGTCTCTGAAACGTGACTGGTTGTTATTCACCCCATCACCCACGCCCTATCCTCCCACCCCCACCCCAACATGTTTTGAAACAGAATTAAGATATTGCATTTTGATGTATTATAACTTGCAGAATTGTTTTCTCAAAGAAAAACCGGAATAGAGAAATCCGAAAAACGGACAATTAATGTAAAACTTCATAAGTGATCTGCAATAAAGAACAGTGTTTCACATGACAAAATCAACAATATTTCCCCCTGATTAAATACATTAAAGAAGACAATACATCTCATTACCTGAACATGGGTTTGTTGGAAGGCATTCTTTAATGTCCTCATCAACTCCTGGACAATGTTTGCCATCATGTGCCGGTTGTGGGTTTACACATACTCGGGACCTAGTTTGTATGCCTTTAGCTACAAAACCTGCCTCTGAACAAGTCAGTGAGCATGCAGACCATCCTTCCCAGGAGGCCCATGTTCCATTAACTGAAATAACAGTAAATTTACGTTGTCTTTTGTCAATACGCCATAGTTTTATTTACTGAAATTTATACAATATTTAGTTAGTATAACAAGCGCCATTAATAAGCGCCCTTCACTTCACTTTGCTAGCATAAAGATGACATATATGTGGAAAAATATAAAGTAAAAACCCGCACATTTGCCTTTATATAAATATCAATTAAATCTGTCTAGATAAGTTTATAATAATGCATGTTTTGAGATCTTAGTAGTTTTTGATGGTTTATTTTTGTTGTAAACATATGCTTGTTAAAAGTTTTTTTTAGTCAAATGACAACCTGAAATCAAGTCGATACTGAAAACATATACATTTTTTACCTTTTTTTGTATTTCCTAACGAAAAATAACGTGAGAAGTAAATATGTACAGCACTACGCTGTCGACCGACAACACAGTGTCAGTTATGGGTCTGAGTTCACACATAACGCATTGTTGACTTTACAAAATACATCGCAAGCAAGAATTATAAGTATCAGAATATATACCTCTAAAAGGATATTTCTGTTCACAGTTGGATTTGAATATAACCGAACAGGTTAATTAAAGCATACACGCCCTGAGAGGGTACCGCAAGGAGAATTTAAACCGCACAAATTACGATTTCAATAGGTCTATAATATAAATAACTCATTTATGACGATGTTTGAGATGTTGCTGGAAGATGATTTCGATTCAGAATAAATGCATGTACTTGAATTCCAAATAAGCTATGTGAACAAAGCGGGGAATTACCTACTCTCCGCGGAAGAATTTTGTGATAAAATTATAAAAAAAACTTATTTCACTAAATTGTCCCTTTTATACAATATAATCTGTAATGATTGTATGTCTATAATCTTATCTTCCGTATAATCCAGAATAAAACTTACTAGCTCTTAACATTCGCAGTCTATATAAATATATAAACATATTAAGATAAAATATAGTGAGCTATGAAGCGAAAAAATGAATCACCGCGAGAATTTAAATCTACACAGCAATCCTTATCACTGCAAATGATTGACCCAGCGCAACAAAGACATCGTTAGAAAATCCGGAAAAAAAAATCATAATTAGCATACCACATCTCAGCAAAGGTTTGGCACTAAATAACACGGCTTTTAGGGGTTTTAGAGAAAGAAATCGTATGAAAAGAGGAATCACCTGGCACTGCATAGAATTAGTATATTATGCATATGGGTTTTTTCACGCAATAAAAGGCTGATATACTTTTATTTAATCACCTTTCGTTTAACAGTTACCGCCGATCGTTTGTAAAAAGATTTTCTATTCAGTTAAATTATATTTATGTATGATATTAGCGATACAAACAAGATCACTACAAGAACATCAGCTTAATTGTGCTATTTATGAACTCTCGTCAATCATAACGGAGCTAAAATTGATCCAATCACTAGAGTACATAATAAAAAGCCAAAACGTTGTATAAATATATTGATATAATAAAACAATAAGTATTCGCCAGCGAAAAGAAAATGTTATGAAACAGAAATTCAGTCCTATCTTTTGAAGTATTGTCACTTCCCAGGAGGCCCAGTTTCCATCAACTAAAATAATAGTAATTTTACGTTGTTTTGGTAAGAATAACGTTGATTTAGATATTGAAATTTATATAGGGATTGAATGGATTTGTTTTTCATGTACATTGCGGTAGCGCTCCACAGGATATGTAGATCAGCTACTGCTTTTCATTGCCGCAATGTACATGAATAAAGTCCATTCAATTTAAATATTTACGTTTCGATGAACTACAATAAAAAAGTTACAACTCTTTCTGTAATTTAATATTTTTAATATAAGTATCGGAAAGGAAACCATGAAAGAAGAGACAGCCAAAACTCCAGCCTACACACAAACTTGAAAAGTTCCGCCTATCAGCTAATTTTGTTGAACCAAAATTATATATCTAGTATCTAAAAATAACCAACGCTTTATATTCCTTTCGTTTTTGAATAATGATCTTAATTGAGGTTTTTTTTGCATTAAACACTGCACATTATATATTAAAAAAAAGTTGATGTCCGCACTATTTCATATCAATGATGATAAGTTGACGGATGAAGTGCCCTGTGTCATTACAAAGTTCTTTGGGGGATTACCCAGCCGGACGTTTGGGTGTTAGAAGTTCGTGACGACGAGGAACGGATTGCGAGTCGGAAGTCAGTATTAATTATAACAATGTTATAAATATTTCTTTTAATTTTAAATTAAAAAACATATGTACAATGGTGCATCATTTATGATTATTGTAATGTTTATTATTATTTATCGCAACTACGTTATCTCGGAGAAGGGGAGATTACTCTTCACAGAAACGGTACTATGCGTAGTAATATGAAGTTGTCATTGTGTGTGAAATTAGCTGACTGGTTGTGCGAGAATCATTGTATTCATAGTGTATTCATGGTCTAATGGCAGTTGTTTTCAGTTGGTAGATTCATGTATAGAACAAACATCAAGAATGTAAATATACACTATTCACTTTGGTATGACACCAGTGTAATCCTGAAATTATAAAAACCTTAAACACAAAAATAAAATCAGGCGCCCTAAACGTCACTTTACTAGCATAAAGATGACATCTATGGGGGAAATGAAGATTAAAACTCAGCACATTTGCCTTGATAAAAAATTCATCAAACCTGTCCAGGTAAGTTAAAAAGTATGCATGTTTTAGGATCTAAGTAGGAATATACATAATAACATGGTCCTTTTGCTTGTTTTACATGTGATGGTTTATTTCATTTGTTTACATCTTATTGTTAATGCAAGGCCATCCATAATGATTGTATTTCTATAAGGACAACGTAAGATAAGATATAGTGAGTTGTGAAGCGAGGAATAGAAACACTGCGAAATTTGAAACTACAAAGGACGAGTTTGATATCTATCCCCGCTTATATTTGACACTGTGCAACACAGTCATGTTTGACATTCAGCAAAATCGTGGATAATCCACAACCAACAACACAGCGAAGGTTCGTCACTAAACAACGCAGCAATTCAAAGAAATAAAGGTAGATGCATAGTATTATTATATTATGCATGTGTTTCTTGCATGCCGTAAAAGGCTGGAATAATTTTATTGAATCACCATTAGTTTAACAATTATCGCTAGTCGTTTGTATAGTATTTTATCCTGATTATTGTGGTCATCGATATGATCAATATATTTCCCATAGCTTCCACGACTAAATCACTACAAAAACATCCTAAAATCAAATAATTTATTTTTCACTTTTGAACTGTTGTAAAAAAACCAATTAAAACAATTAATTGAATAATGCTGAAAAGTAAATATCGTCAGCAATGACGGACCTAATACTGTTGATGTTACTATAATGCATGATAAAATGTCAAGTAAACATAATGCGTTTTTCAGTAAATGCTATGAATAGCACAAGACAGTTACCGGGACAAAACTTGGACGGAGTGCATTCCTTCTCCTCTTTAGGGTGTCCAATGCAAGGTTTTCCGGCGTATTGTGGTGATGGATTGGAACAGTAGCGATGTCGAAACGTTATGCCTGTAAGTTCCCCCGGTTGACTACATGTAATGGAACACTGACTCCACTCCCCCCATCTTGACCAGTTACCGTCAACTATATAATGGAATTAAATAATAATCATACTCATTGCATGGCATATGTTACCGATTCAAACAATATTACTAAAATAACACACAGAAAAAAACAAGCGGTTTTTCACTTTGAAAGTGCAATTGAAGAATATTGAAAAACTGCTGTTAATAAAATCACGGCTGCCATGACCGGGCTAAAATTGAACAAATTACTATAGCACATGATCAAATGTCAAAATGTTAATATACACATCGATATAATAAAACAATAAGAATTCGCCACCCAAACGAAAATGTATTGAAACAGACAATCAGATACTGCATTTTAAAGTATTTCTATTTACAGACTTGTCTTCCAAAGCTTGGACGAAATGTCTCTTAAAGAAAAACCGGAATTAAGCAATCCGAAATAATTCCCGATGAACGTAAAGCGTGAGATGCGAAGAAAACATATATAATCACCCGAACATGGCTTTGTAGGAAAGCATTCTTTAATGTCCCCATCCTCTCCTGGACAATGTTTGCCACCATGTTCAGGTTTTGGGTTAACGCATAATCGGGACCTAGTTTGTACCCCTTTAGCTACAAAACCTGCCTCTAAACAAGTCATTGAGCATGCAGACCATCCTTCCCAGGAGGCCCAGTTTCCATCAACTAACATTACAGTACATTTAAGTTGTTTTGGTGAGGATGCTATGGTTTTATGTATTGTAATTTATACAATATTCACTTTAGTATGACAACAATGTAATCTTGCAATTATCAAAACCGTTAACACTAAATAAAATCAGTCGCCCTCAACTTCAATTTACTAGCATAAAGATGGCATCTATGGGGGAGTTAAGATTAAAAACCAGCACATTTGCCTTGATATAAATATTCATCAAACCTGTCTAGGTGAGTTAACAATGATGGATGTTTGACGATCTTAGTAGGGATATACATAATAACATGGTCCCTTTGCTTGTTTCACGTGTGATGGTTTATTTTATTTGTATACATCTTATTGATGATATAAGGTCATCCATAATGATTGTATTTCTATAAGTACAACGTAAGATAAAATATAGTGAGCTGCGAAGCGAAGAATAGAATCGACCCGCAAAATTTGAAACAACACAGCACGAGTTTGGTCCCTATCCCCGGTAATATTTGACACTGTGCAACCCAGTCATGTTTGACATTCCGCCAAATCGTGAATAATCCACTACCCACAAGACAGCGAAAGTTCGGCAGTAAAAACACAGCAATTCGAAGGAAAAGAGGTAGATGCATAGTATAATTATATTATGCAGGCGTTTCATGCATGCCTTGAAAGGCTGGTATATTTTTATTGAATCACCCTTAGTTTAACAATTATCGCCAGTCGTTTGTATAGTTTATTTTTTTTTTATTTACTTATTATATCTTGATAATTGTTTTCATTGGTATAATTAATATATTTTCCTTAGCTTCAACGGAAAGAACATCCTAAAATAAAACGTGTTTTTGTCCACTTTTTTATGTTACAATTATAAATGAATAAGTCAGTTATCTCTGAAACATTCAATTACACAACGAAATAAAATAGAAAGGCTGATAAAGTTATTCTTAATCACTTTTTGTTTAACAATTATAGCGGATCGTTTGTAAAATAAACTTCTTGTTTACTGATGATATCCTTAAATATGAGATTTTCGATACCAAAAATATTGCAACAAGAACTCACAGAAATAAAACCAGTGGTTTTCACTTTGAAAGTGTAATTGAAGAAATATATAAAACGTGCTATTGATAAAATCACGTCAGCCATGACGGGGCTAAAATTAATCGTATTACTATAGAGCATTATCAAATGTCAAAATGTAAATATGTATAACGATGTATTAAAACAATAAGTATTCGCCACCCAAACGAAAATGTTTTGAAACAGACAATCAGATACTGCATTTTGAAGTATTTTTATTTGCAGACTTGTTTTCCCAAACTGGGACCAAATGTCTCTTAAAGAAAAACCTGAATAAAGCAATCCGAAATAATTCCCCATGAACTTAAAACGTCATAAGTGATCAACAAAGAAGAGATATATTTACTCACCCGAACATGGCTTTGCAGGAAAGCATTCTTTAATGTCCTCATCCTCTCCTGGACAATGTTTGCCACTATGTTCAGGTTTGGGGTTAACGCATAATCGGGACCTAGTTTGTACCCCTTTAGCTACAAAACCTGCCCCTAAACAAGTCATTGAGCATGCAGACCATCCTTCCCAGGAGGCCCAGTTACCATCAACTAAAATAACAATAGATTAACGTTGTATTGGTGATGATGCCATGGTTTTATGTATTGTAATTTATACAATATTCACTTTAGTATGACAACAATATAATCCTGCAATTATCAAAACCTTTATCACTAAATAAAATCAGCACCCTCAACTTCACTTTACTAGCATAAAGATGACATCTATGGGGGAAATGAAGATTAAAAACCAGCACATTGGCCTTGATATAAATATTCATCAAACCTGTCCAGGTAAGTTAACAATGAAACACGTTTTACGATCTTAGTAGGGATATACATAATAACATGGTCCCTTTGCTTGTTTTACGTGTGATGGTTTGTTTAATTTGTATACATCCTATTGTTAAAGTAAGGTCATCCATAATGATTGTATTTCTATAAGTACAACGTAAGCTAAAATATTGTGAGCTATGAAGCGAAGAATAGAAACGACCCGCAAACTTTGAAACAACACAGCACGAGTTTGATCCCTATACCCGCAAATATTTGACACTGTGCAACACAGTCATGTTTGACATTCCGCCAAATCGTGAATTATCCACTACCCATAAGACAGCGAAAGTTCGGCACTAAAACCAGAGCAGCAATTCAAAGGAAAAGAGATACATGCATAGTATAATTATAGTATGAAAGCGTTTCTTGCATGCCGTGAAAGGCTGGTATATTTTTATTGAATCATCCTTAGTTTAACAGTTATCGCCAGTCGTTTGTAAAGTTTATGTTTTTTTATTTACTTATTATATCTTGATTATTGTTGTCATGGGTATAATTAATATATTTTCCTTCGCTTCCACGGCAAGAACATCCTAAAATAAAACGTGTGTTTGTCCACTTTTGAAATGTTGTAAAAAAATCAATTAGTACAATTAATTGATTAATGCTAAAAAGAAATATCGTCAGTAATGACGGACCTTATACTGTTCATGTTACTACAATGCATGATGAACTGCAATTAAAATAATGCGATACTCAGTAAAAGTATTCAATAGAATGAGACAGTTACCGGGACAAAACTTGGACGGAGTGCATTCCTTCTCCTCTTTAGATTGTCCATTGCAGGGTTTTCCGCCGTATTGCGGTGATGGATTGGAACAGTAGCGATGTCGAAACGCTATGCCTGTAAGTTCCCCCGGTTTACTACATGTAATGGAACACTGACTCCACTCCCCCCATCTTGACCAGTTACCGTCAACTACCGAAATAGAATTAAATAATAATCATACTCATTGCATGTAATATGTTATCGTGCTTAAATCAATCAAATGTTATATCATCAGGGATATATACTCTTTTTTATTTAACAATTATAACTTAATATTCCAGTTACCTCTTAAACATTCAATTGCACAACGAGTTCAAATATAATGGCTGATACAGTTATACTGAATCACCTTTTGTTTAACAATTATCACTGATCGTTTGTAAAATATACTTCTTGTTTACCGATGATATCCTTAAGTATGAAATTTTCGATACCAAAAATATTACTAAAAGAACTCACAGAAATAAACGCAGTGGTTTTCACTTTGAAAGTGTAATTGAAGAAATATTCAAAAAGTGCTGTTAATAAAATCACGTCAGCCATGACAGGGTTAAAATTGAATAAATTACTATAGCACATGATCAAATGTCAAAATGTTTATATACACATCGATATAATAAAACAAGAAGAATTCGCCACCCAAACGAAAATGTTTTGAAACAGACAATCAGATACTGCATTTGAAAGTATTTCTATTTGCAGACTTGTCTTTCCAAACTGGGACCAAATGTCTCTTAAAGAAAAAACAGAATAAAGCAATCCGAAATAATTCCCCATCAACTTAAAACGTCCTAATTGACCAACAAAGAAGATTTATATATACTCACCCGAACATGGCTTTGTAGGAAAGCATTCTTTAATGTCCTCATCCTCTCCTGGACAATGTTTGCCACCATGTTCAGGTTTTGGGTTTACACATAATCGGGACCTAGTTTGTACCCCTTTAGCTACAAAACCTGCCTCTAAACAAGTCATTGAGCATGCAGACCATCCTTCCCAGGAGGCCCAGTTACCATCAACTGAAATAACAGTACATTTAAGTTGTTTTGGTGAGGATGCTATGGTTTTATGTATTGTAATTTATACAATATTCACTTTAGTATGACAACAATGTAATCTTGCAATTATCAAAACCGTTAACACTAAATAAAATCAGTCGCCCTCAACTTCAATTTACTAGCATAAAGATGGCATCTATGGGGGAGTTAAGATTAAAAACCAGCACATTTGCCTTGATATAAATATTCATCAAACCTGTCTAGGTGAGTTAACAATGATGGATGTTTGACGATCTTAGTAGGGATATACAAAATAACATGGTCCCTTTGCTTGTTTCACGTGTGATGGTTTGTTTAATTTGTATGCATCCTATTATTAAAGTAAGGTCATCCATAATGATTGTATTTCTATAAGTACAACGTAAGCTAAAATATTGTGAGCTATGAAGCGAAGAATAGAAACGACCCGCAAAATTTGAAACAACACAGCACATGAGTTTGATCCCTATCCCCGGTAATATTTGACACTGTGCAACACAGTCATGTTTGACATTCCGCCAAATCGTGAATTATCCACTACCCATAAGACAGCGAAAGTTCGACACTAAAACCAGAGCAGCAATTCAAAGGAAAAGAGATACATGCATAGTATAATTATAGTATGAAAGCGTTTCTTGCATGCCGTGAAAGGCTGGTATATTTTTATTGAATCATCCTTAGTTTAACAATTATCGCCAGTCGTTTGTATAGTTTATGTTTTTTTATTTACTTATTATATCTTGATTATTGTTGTCATGGATATAATTAATATATTTTCCTTCGCTTCCACGGCAAGAACATCCTAAAATAAAACGCGTGTTTGTCCGCTTTTGAAATGTTGTAGAAAAATCAATTAGTACAATTAATTGATTAATGCTAAAAAGAAATATCGTCAGTAATGACGGACCTTATACTGTTCATGTTACTATAATGCATGATGAACTGTAATTAAAATAATGCGATACTCAGTAAAAGTATTCAATAGAATAAGACAGTTACCGGGACAAAACTTGGACGTACTCTTTTTTATTTAACAATTATAACTTAATATTTCAGTTACCTCTTAAACATTCAATTGCACAACGAGTTCAAATATAATGGCTGATACAGTTATACTGAATCACCTTTTGTTTAACAATTATCACTGATCGTTTGTAAAATATACTTCTTGTTTACTGATGATATCCTTAAGTATGAGATTTTCGATACCAAAAATATTACTAAAAGAACTCACAGAAATAAACGCAGTAGTTTTCACTTTGAAAGTGTAATTGAACATATATTCAAAAAGTGCTGTTTATAAAATCACGTCAGCCATGACAGGGTTAAATTGAATAAATTACTATAGCACATGATCAAATGTCAAAATGTTTATATACACATCGATATAATAAAACAAGAAGAATTCGCCACCCAAACGAAAATGTTTTGAAACAGACAATCAGATACTGCATTTGAAAGTATTTCTATTTGCAGACTTGTCTTTCCTAACTGGGACCAAATGTCTCTTAAAGAAAAAACAAAATAAGCAATCCGAAATAATTCCCCATCAACTTAAAACGTCCTAAGTGACCAACAAAGAAGATTTATATATACTCACCCGAACATGGCTTTGTAGCAAAGCATTCTTTAATGTCCTCATCCTCTCCTGGACAATGTTTGCCACCATGTTCAGGTTTTGGGTTAACGCATAATCGGGACCTAGTTTGTACCCCTTTAGCTACAAAACCTGCCTCTAAACAAGTCATTGAGCATGCAGACCATCCTTCCCAGGAGGCCCAGTTACCATCAACTGAAATAACAGTACATTGAAGTTGTTTTGGTGAGGAAGCCATGGTTTTATGTATTGAAATTTATACAATATTCACTTTAGTATGACATCAATGTAATCCTGCAATTATCAAAACCGTTAACACTAACTAAAATAGTCGCCCTCAACTTCACGTTACCAGCATAAAGATGACATCTATGGGGGGAATGAAGATTAAAAACCAGCACATTTGCCTTGATATAAATATTCATCAAACCTGTCCAGGTAAGTTAAAAATGATGGATGTTTTACGATCTTAGTAGTGATATACATAATAACATGGTCCCTTTGCTTGTTTTACGTGTGATGGTTTATTTTATTTTTATACATCCTGTTGTTAATGTAAGGTCATCCATAATGATTGTATTTCTATAAGTACAACGTAAGCTAAAATATTGTGAGCTGTGAAGCGAAGAATAGAAACGACCCGCAAAATTTGAAACTACACAGCACGAGTTTGATGCTTAACAATCATCGCCAGTCGTTTGTATAGTTTTTTTTTTTAATTACTTATTATATATTTATAATTATGGTCAATGGTATAATTAATATATTTTCCTTCGCTTCCACGTCAAGAATATCCTAAAATTAAACCAGATTTTCCCACTTTTGAACTGTTGTAAAACAATTAACACAATTACTTGATTAATGCTAAAAAAAGAAATATCGTCACTAATGACGGACCTTATACTGTTCATGTTACTACAATGCATGATAAATGTCAATTAACATAATGCGTTTCTCAGTAAAAGCATTAAATAGAACAAGACAGTTACCGGGACAAAACTTGGACGGAGTACATTCCTTCTCCTCTTTAGATTGTCCATTGCAGGGTTTTCCGCCGTATTGCGGTGATGGATTGGAACAGTAGCGATGTCGAAACGCTATGCCTGTAAGTTCCCCCGGTTGACTACATGTAATGGAACACTGACTCCACTCCCCCCATCTTGACCAGTTACCGTCAACTATAAAATGGAATTAAATAATAATCATACTCATTGCATGGCATATGTTTTCGCGCTTAAAAGACTCTAGTGTTATTTCAACAGGAATGTATTTTTTTTTTATTGACAATGTAAATAAATAATTCAGGTTCTCTATTAAACAATCAATTACACAACTAATTCAAATATCTTTAGATGTGAACATAATCCCTGTTACCAATTGTCTTTGAAGTAAATGTCAGCTGATGGCGTTCTGATTAAAACAAAATTGATAAATATAATAGGTAATGTGAGCCGATGGTGTCACATCGATTCGTTGTTAATGTGTAAATGGACATTCATTCCCTTTACTTGGACCCTCTTACTCTACTGAGAAATCTAAAATACCACCTTCACTCCCTACCTTGGTTATAGATCCGTTCTAAGATCGAACATAATGCTTTGCTAGAATATTCATAACGGTTGCCTCTGGTGATACAAGCATTGCCTCACTCGCGAAGGAGGTATTTTTCTCCTTTATTTGGCGTGGATCATGATTTCTTTTTCTGGTTTTGTGTCCTCACTGTTACCGGCATTGTTTATTTTGTGTATCAAGTTTTGAGTTCGGATTTTATCTTATAGTATTAAATTGATGATGTTATATTTTTTTCAGTTGAATTTCCTTAAGCTTAACAAAAAGAAAGTAAGATGACAAATATAAAATTATATCATAGACAAATATGTAGTTTAAGATAAAGTGATCTTGAAAATGTTAATATATGGTCTAAGAAATAGGACATACATTTTAATCCTACTAAAACGAAATCTTTTACTTTTAGTCGAAAACGAAATAAAATATCTCCTGATATCATTTTTCGAAATGAAACTATAGCAAATGTGTCAACTCATAAACATCTTGGTGTATTTTTTTCTGAAGATGGTAAGAGGCATCACTATATCAACTTTATTTATAATAAAACGTAGAAACGTATAAATTTATTGAAATCTGTAAAATATAAAATAAGTCGTAAAACACTAATCACTATATATATCGCTTATATTAGACCTATACTTGAATATGGTGATATCATTTTTGATAATTGTACTCAGCAGGAGGCAACTTTACTTGAATCTATCCAAATAGAGCCTTCTCGAATAATTACAGGACTGCGTATAGGAACTTCAAACTATAAACTTTATTATGAACTTGTTTGGGACACCCTTGCTGCAAGACGGAAAAAAAACAGACTTATTCTTCTATACAAAATTCTAACAGGAACTGCACCCACTTATTTAAATGAATTAATTGAACCCTTTTTCAACAATATGAACTTATACCTATTAAGAAATGAAAGAATCTTTACAATTCCTGTGTGCAGAACAAATACTTTATTCCGTCTTCACTTAAAGATTATAATGAACTTGCAGCAAGGTTTGACCTGACTAACATCATATCACTATACCAATTTAAAAAACTTTTAAGAAGAGCTGTAAGTGACATCATATTATTAGACACAAACTTTACCTATGTCAACGCAGGTGATAGAAAATACAACCTCATACTCTGCCAACTTAGAAATTCTTCAAGTAACCTTAATCTTGATCTACATGGAGATCATCTTCTCGAATCACCAACTTGTACCTGTGGTAATGCCCTTGACGTAGTACATCATTTTTTTATCATTTGTAATAAGTGTGATGAACCACGTACAACCCTCAAGGATAAATTATTTGATGTTAATCACAATCACTACACTCTGGATGTACTTCTATCTGGCTGTGGGGATTGTGATGAACAAACCAATGTAAATATTTTTGAATGTACTGCCGAGTTTGTAACAGCTACACATAGATTTCCACATATATAATACATTATATATTTCTGATTTGATATTATGTCTCTTAAATATGAAAACCATCAGTTACGACTGCTTCTACATCATAAACATTGTGTGTCATCATCACCCTTCCATTTTTCTATGGCCGCCTTCCCCCTTTTGATCTGATAGGCAAATATTTTGTAAGTTTTGTATGCTATGTATCATTCATTATAATTATTGCAGTGCTGTTTTATGTGATCGAATAATTATTAAGTAAGGACAATCTCATAATGGTCGACAAATTCATTTTGCATCTTTCTGTTTACTAAATTTTGTCATTCATTTAGGAAAAAAGAAAATCCAAAAAAATGTGAAATCCTTGATTTACCTTCTTATTAACAAATCGTTACAAAATATTGATTTGAATCCACCAACACATCAAAAACTATGAAAATCAGAATGCGGTATCCATGACTGGCCCCAAAACTCATGGGTGGATGACCAGTGGCTGATAAGCCAATATGGATATTTTTGATCTGCATCCCATGAGTGGAGGGAATCCTGTCATGGATGCTGGATTCGAGGCTCCAAAAAAATATCAGTTTGGAAAAAATATTGAATACACTATTTCACATAGTATAACAACTCTTAAACTGTGTCTTACTTTCAAACTCATGTCTCATATTCAAACATTTTAATTTTGAAACTTCAAAATAACAACATACTATATATATATATATAGAGAGAGAGAGAGAGAATAAAAACAATTTTTTCAGATCGTCCGCTAGGCCTTTCTGCCTTCTAGGGCTTCTTCAGGCGGATTCTTGTGTATTTATAGACTCATTGTTACCTTTAGGAGAGAACTAATATAGGCTATGCCTGTTGTTCAATCCTTTTTTTTAATAAAATAAAATTTGTTGAAATGAAAAATAAAGTGATAATATATTTATCGTTGCCCACTTAATGATGCAATCCTTACCAGAGCAAAACGACGTTGGTTGGCAGGATTTTGCTTCAGTATCCTTTCCAACGCAGACATCACCGTCATGGGCAGGTGCAGGGTTGGTACAGGTGCGTCGTCTTGTACGGGTGCCCGTCGGAATTGGATGACCCTTCCGTGTGCATGTAGCTGAGCAGGGCTCCCAAGTTTGCCATTTCGACCAATTACCATCGACTGAAATATGGCAAGAAACATTACTGAAAATGCGAAAGAGTATAAAATACTTTATTGCATCGAATTATTTCCGTCCCCTGAATGATGTCAACGCAGCTGTACAGACGTTTATTCCTTTGCAGCTTTTGGTGGAAAGAATTGATTTGATTATTTGCGTCAAGGTATGATGTTATATGTTTTTCTGTGAAATAAAATATATGTATTTATAATTAAATGAACAACAATAGAAGTTGGATACACTTAAGGAAGTCACCACTGTTATTCCAATGTTACAGTTGCATGCTGCGTATCCTACTAACCAGGTATTGATTTTCGTAAAGTTGTATATAAACAATGGAAAACAGCTATTTTTAATCACAAAATAATTTCAATTTTATGTCGTAATGATACTAATAATGGAAAATACAAAAAGACAGACCTGGGGCAGGCATTGCACAATCTTCATTTTTGCCACCGTCACCATCATTATCTGTAAAAAGAAATTGTGGACATTTGATTATGCTTCGAATGGACGGACATACGAGTTTCTATAACTATTCTTGACGAATGTTTCCCTCTAAAGTTCTAACCTTCAGTCTGGTAACTAATAAATTAAGATTAACTTTATGGATGGCTTTATGGACACAATTCATCTTATACCTTCTCTCTCGTACATATGCTGACATGTTGTTAACAATGACACACGAGAACACGAGAATATAATTAATGAGGAAAGATTTTATCCCTTTTTAGTTTAAACAAAGTTTGATATAGCACCCTATCTATCTAGAAAATAAAGCTACACCACAGCGCTTTACAATACATTATCCTACAATTACATAATAAAAATCAATAAAAATTCAAGGATTTTTCCAGAGCTGTCTTCGCAATTGCTTACTAATACCCTTATGCTAACTGGCTAATTTCTCTACGAAAGTGTAAACGTTTCCGATGCGGAACAAAATTGAATATTACAGGGTACACACTGCAAAACCATCCCAGGCTATTTGATACCCAAAAGTGAGCGAAATCTACTCGGTCAAAGACGCTCAATCATGAATAATAATGATAGTAAATTAAGCAAAACTAATTTACTTATGAAACATTTGTATGTACCTTGTTGGTCAAGTACACACAGTTCTTCATCAATCAGGCCGTCACAGTCATTGTCTAATCCATCCCCGACAACAGTGGGTGTGGGCTCGCAGGGCTGGACAATCAAAACAAAGGATCCAACATCAATGTTTTAAAAAGCATTCCTGTTTTCCAAGAACCGCCTTTCACATCAATATTTTAACATGTTCGTTTATAACCTATCTATAAGACTAGAAGACTAAATTTTCAATAATGACATAAAAATTATTAGCATAAACCGTTGAGTAAAACTGAAGGAAATATTTGAATTCATGATGTTTTATGTCGTTGTAACTACAAACATGTACTAGTAAGATAAAAATGAAAGGCATAATTAAATATTTTATTACATAAAAAAAATAATCCATCATCAACAAGATTTTACTTTACACCATCCAAATAATTTATACACTACCGTATTAATTGGAGCCATTCTCATTCCAGTGGGAAATCCATACGACTCCATAGTGGCTCTCCCATACAGATAACCACCGAATATGGAGATAGGTGAAATATGTCGAACGTTATGGGAACCTTCCGGTATAGAAATATAGCCCCCGACATATTCTGTTCCAGGTATCTGTTGGATTATAACATTTGCTGGGAAAGGTTTGCCATTTAGTCTCAGGCCCGATATATATTTGGCCTTGACAATGAATAAGAAGTAATTTAAATAAGACCCAAAAGAGTATTTTGGAGTAGCAAATGTGTAATCGGAGGCAAACTGTTCAATTGGAGGAATAATTATCATACTCGGGTCTGAAGGTTCCAGGCGCGAGGTTTGACTTTGGACAAATTGGGCAACAAAGATGGCTTTGTCGGACGTCACGAGACAATAGGCGTTGGATGGAATGTTTGTCTGGATGAAATCTCCAGCCTTTTTTAAAACTATAGTGTCCGTATAACCACCAGATATTTGTATTTTTGTGTTATCCTCACTCGCAAGAAACCGAAAGAAGTCACCTACTGTTCGATGGGGAATAGAAACAGTGACAAATGTCTTTCCCCAAGAAGTAACTGGCGTTAAGTGCTCCACAATATGATCACTGCTGAAACCGCGACCAATCTTTGTTTTCTTGTTACCACTGAACACAGAAATAGGTTTATCTGATGCCACATGGGTGCCACTTAAATCGCCCTTACTTACCAACTGAAATGTATCGAAACTATTCAAATTTATATGGATTTCGTCTCCTTTACGATAATAATGTCCGTCCCACCGAACAGTGTAGTCGCCAAGAGCATCGCCGAAACGTACGGTAACGGCTGTGTTATTATCGACCCCAACGATCAATAATTCGCATTGATCTGAAGGTGGGTAGTACGTCACAATGTAATACTCAGTACCTAACACGTCCACAGGTAAACCCAAAAATGCATCACAGGAGAACTTCTCCTTGTTCACACCATAAATCACTATTTCATCATTAGATCTTATCAAAACTCCTTTTGTGTCTTTTGATGAGCCAACGACCCGGATGTTATTTGGCAAGTGGACCTGTTTAACCATACCATAGGAAACATTGAATTGATGGTGTATTCCGGCTGTTTCAAATTGTGGAGCTAATATTTCCACACTAACGTTCGCCCTCCTCATTGTTGTTACAAACAGCTCAACGTCTATGTCCTGCCCAAGGTTCTCCATATATCCGATGACGAATTCCGTCCCTCTATTATCCGGGGCGTCTGCGTAAAAGTAGCAGGTAGAAATAAGAGTTAGAAGACAATTAGCAAAATATGAATGAAATCGTTCATATATCTCTTATCAATGACTTACCGTTATTCTCTTATTAATAAAAACAAAAAAAACACAAATTATTTATACATTTTGGCTACAAAAGACAAGATGTTTTTTACAATACAACATTTATGTACAATATTCTTGGTAATGATTTACAACATTTGAAAGTTTACGGTGTATACAACTGTGAAATCGATTATGTTTCGTAGATAATCTTAATCGGTGTATTCATATATAACAAATAAAAAGGGATGAAAATGAAGTTACTGTAGTATAAAATATCATATAGCTTAGGTAAATAAATTATTCTTAATATATCCAAGGGGATGCCGCACCTGCACATGAATACTGAAGTTTAATATGAATTATATTTCAGTGATCAGTACACCTCCCGAATATTGTGTATTCATCCAAAACCTGTAAATATGTACTGCTCTTTGTCCTGTATGACTGTAGCTTAAATAGACTGTAGCTTAAATAATCGTTTTTAATTATAATTTTTTGACAGGAAATCCATAACTTTGGGGAACATTCCATTGATTTTTCAGAGTTGATGGAGTCAATTTTTTTTTTCAGATGTGTATCTTTTAAATTTATCAAAAAATAGAACGCTTCTCATCTAATAGACCAAACTAAAATGAAAGAAATAACATAGTTGATAACAATATTTGATATTTTAACCAGTATAAAAAGTACACAATCTTAAGGTTTAATTGTAATACAAAAGAGATGATGAACTGCATTGTTTAATGACTAAATTATCAAACTGCGTTAATACGAAATATGTGTAAAGAAAAGCATACGTTTCTGAGTAAGAGTTAAATGCAGCGTCACTAGAACAAGATTCCAACCCTGGATTTCCAAACTCGAGACGGCCGTCCTATCTAAATGAGCTATACGATCGCCTGGCCTTGTTCCGCTACACTTACATCACTAAGACAAAAGTCACCACTAGAAAGGTTAGCAGAATAGGGGATACTAAAATTCAAATATTTGGGACAAATTTTCAATGAAATGATTTCGTCATAAATAGCTAACAACATGAAAGAATAGTGAAGATTGCTCAATTTACTGAAGATCATATTTGATACACATGAATTGTTTAGATATTTTAAAGAGAAGTTGCAGACCATCAAATGCTACTCACTTTGTTTGACGAGTTCTCCACGCATGAGCCCTATATTAAAGGAAACAATTAATATTTATGAAAATGATAGAAAACTCTAACTAATTATGTATTCCTCGTAAGTTTTGATAAATTGATGTGTTTTAGACAGTAGCAATAAATCATTGATGTGTCCTACTCATTTACAAAAAAAATAACGGATTCGTATTCAGCAACAATAAATTGTTAATATGTTTTGCCAGTTTAAATATAAAAATTATGCAGTTAGTCGGATACTAAAACTTGTGAAGTATTAAGTCATTAACAATATATTGATGCCTCAAGCCAGTAAAAATATGTTTATTATTAGTATTTAGTTATTCATTGTTGCTGTTGTATATAGTTAATAGTAAAGAACAATAAATTGATAATGAAATTAGTCAGTAACAATACAGTGATGATGTATTTAGCATGTTTTAAACTATTAATGAAGTAAATAGTAAGTAATTAGCAACAATAGATTAATGATGTATTCAGTCCGTAATAATAGATTGATGATGAATTCAGTCCGTGATAATAGATTGATGATGAATTTAGTCAGTAACAATATGTGGATGATGAATTCGGTCCGTAATAATAGATTGATGATGAATTTAGTCAGTAACAATATGTGGATGATGAATTCGGTCGGTAACAATACATGTATGATACATTAAGGTCATATGAGTGTATTGATAAACGGAAACAGGAAGTACATTCCTAGTTGAAAATCCAATGTAGGGAGACAGTATCACAATTTCCGCATATTCTAATGTTTAATATTAGACTGATGAATATTGTATGTTTATTATTGACAGAACAGTGTGTTCTCTCAATATTAAAGTATTTCAAAGCAATCCAGGCATCTCTCAGTTGTTTTTTACCAATGAGTAAAATGTGTCCATTTTTCTGTACTTCAGGAAACCGGCTACCTATTTCACTACTGTGAAGTTTTTCAAGAAAGATAACTCTTCCATTCAATTACTATGTGTATATGGTTCTATCATAAAGCATCAACTTTTAACCGTTTATAGATAATTTATTTTACACAATTTCAGCATTTATTAAATTGATATACATTAATGCAATACTAATCTAAGGCCGTATCATTTTTATTGACATTATTTTGCAAGTAATTGTGTTTTTTATTTTTATTTTCAAAATTCACTCCTTTTTACATAAATTTCCATTTAAAATCCCTGAAGTTCTGACAACCTAGATTTTTGGGGGGCAGACATTTTTCTTTACTCCAAAGCAATATAACAAAGTAAGATAATTTACAAAATTTGAAGAAAATCTACTGAGAAATGGTGACACAATCCTATTACCTTAAGTCAGTTACAATTGATGATATATTCAGAGTGAGTTTCAACAGATTGATGATGTATTTAGCAGCAAAAATAAAATTAGTAATGTATCTGGAAAACACTTAGATTAGTTGTTAGATTGTTTATGTATGATTGATTAAACAAGAATAATAGGAATGAAAGAGGAGTAGGGATACTTTGACATTAAGAATAATCAAAACAGTATTTATATTATATTAGATTAATCTTGGATAATTTACACAACAGTAAATATCTCATCTTCCGTGTCGGAGGGTGTTGCTAATGTTTTAATGCTGATATATTTAGAATGTAAACATGGAAGGATCCTTTCGGAGTATTAATTGAAATACAAACTTACTTACTTCTGACGTTAGTGTTGTAGACTCTGCATACACATTACATATTTGTTATTCGTTAAGATACTGTGGTGCATGTTAAAAAAATTAAACAGTTTTAACAAGTATCAAGAATGTTGCAAAATCTGCAACAGTATCAAGATCATAGTGCTGGAATAATAATGCATTTATGTTTGGTAATTCCGCAATAAGGACTATTCATAATATCTCAGACCACCTATCATTGTGTACTCTAAGTATATAATATATATTTTATAATATCTATCACATTTTATAAGAAATGAAGGATTCTAGTACCAATGAAGGCAGATCACTATAATATTCTATGCTAGTTGTATGTAAGTACATGGAGTAATCTCCCGTCAACTCGCTTTGAATGTAACTAAAGTTGGACTGGGCCAGCGTAATCACTTTGAACAGGTATGATCGTAGGTCAATGATTCGAATTATCGTCTGGTCTGTAGAAATGCCAGAAAATATTTTCTAATGAATGGTTAAAATCTTAGACAGTAGAAAGGAGATTTCTGACTAATATGTAGTTTTAATAGTATTTTGAATAAGGTATAAATCAAACAGTCACGTATTCTGAATAAAATGTGTCGTATTTTTTTTTAAAATGTATTAGCACAAAGCAAATTAAAGAGAATACTTACCTACCAATACGAATGTAATCAGCGTGTGTGTTAAACAGGGTTGTATTACCGTCAGGACGTCCACCGCCATGTTGACAGACAACTCATCAAGGTTTTTGACAGTATTGCGAGCCTGTTAAATTTATAACTCAAATAACATTCCAAAAGACACGTTAATTTATGTCTTGAAACATTAATATTTGTTGCTAAAATTCCACTGTAAAATGAATAAATAAAATAGAAATACACAGGTTGTTGAGTCATTGTGCAGTTTTGGCATTTGTAATGAATAGTGAAATTATTATAAACATAGAGTTTGTAGAAAATACTTACTGTGAGGTCGTACGATCCACTTGGTGTCGTTGTTCCTTGGGCTCTTTTAACTGTGGTTATTAATGGTCGTACCTTTAGGATAAGGGTTTTTAAATGGGATGTCATCTTAATGTGTGAAAAAGGTTATGAGCTAATTTATAAACAAACAATACGTTACCTACGCAATAACTACGAGTTTGCATGATACGCGCTATATCTACCGATGATGTATCTTATTGCCGTAGGGGCTGTACTTTCTTATGACCATATGATTAAGCACTGCACACATGTGTCTTTCATATTTACGTATCATGTGAGAGCACCACGTATATCGCTTTCTAAAACAATTAGCATGAAGCTCTTTTCTTCGTCGTCAATCTACAACAGGCATATTCATTCCTGCAAATAGTTAAAAAGTCAGGCAGACAGTTCGTAATGGTTGTGTGTATATTATATAACGTACGTAACATATGCTGTAATAAAGGTAATGTGGTCAGCATATCACGAATGACTAGGAACACACCAGCGCCTTTAAATGACATATATATGTGTATTGCTTTCGTTAGCCGTGGCATTTCTTTCATATATGTATTTTGTTTCACATTTTTAACGAAGACCTTGATATTTTAGATTTGCATTGGAATATCATAAATGATATCAAAAGCAGCTGCATATTTATCTATTACACTTCATGTTTAATTTTATCTGGAATTATCAGTTTTCTGTAGGAAAGTAGATTAATTGTTTGCCATATCTCTCAATTCAATTTTATTTGAGACTAAAATATCAAGTTAAGTGAGTCAAATTGGGTATAGATCCTGTTTGGGAAAATGTCGATCAAGTAAAAACACTCACAATCTGGCGATTTTATTTTCTGTTTAAGTAACATCAAAGTAGACTCTATGATGTTAACTGCAGGACTAAAACACTTGTCCGTAAACCAGATTTGCGCATGTCAACGTGATTTACATCACAATATGCTTTTACATTGATGTGATGGCATTTCCGTGAGCATACGTATTTAGGACGTCTGGTAGTTGTAATACCAATTGTGCCCTCATAAACAGTGCGCTTCCTCGTCTTCTTGCATTCTTGAGCATAACGAGGCAGGATTCATTTGGAAGCAAACTTTAATTGGTATTTAGTGCACTTTCTAGTGCATACGAAGTGACAAAGGTAGTGAACTTTAATGTAATCAAAACATTGTATTGAAGTCCAGAGCATAGTCTTGTTAATTCTTATGCACAGGCTTGTTATCCCTAGTTCACAAGCTTTTTAACTCAAGTGCTCTACGATATGAACTCAAGCGCACTATAGTCTTTAACCTCAGTACAATAGTTTGAAGTACATATATGGTTGAATACCAACCTGAATACATTACATCAATTTGCTGATAATAAGGATGTTTTGCAATAACCTTTTAGAAAACCATGATAAAGAAAACTTTATTTTCGTTAAATTGTTAAATTGTTTTTCCTATTAAAGTAAACAATAAACTGCTTTTTATGAAAATGTAATGTATTTGTTTGTGACAGTAAGTCTTTTATTCGCGTACACTTTCAGCGTGTGGTAATTTAAGGAGTCAAGAACCATTCAGGGAATTTTGGTCTTGGTTTTAACTTGTATGGTTAAGTGAAAATAATCGTTGATCTCTTTCAGCTGACTAATTAGTATCACTAAACCAGTTACAAAATAGACGGTTTCAGACACTGGGATTAACCTGCTATGTCAAATAATTGGAAAACGAACAAAACGTTACAGGCACAATTTACATAGGTTGGGTCAAGTTGTGTTTTGGTAGCTGGCAACTGTCATCAAAGATTTAAGAACAAATATATACCAATCGGATGTTAAATTCGTATACGTTGTAACTTATCTCCATGCAGCATTTCCGGGTGTTTTTTTTCATTCTGTAAAATTGATCAATCGATCTTAGAAAATATCCCACAAATGTGTGCGTCTATTCTCACAAAGGGGAGATGGATTTGTTAAATTGCGAAAATAGACTGATCACAATGTACGTACGATATGCGCGAGGTATGTTCAGGCTTATAGCGATCAAACAACTGTATTTTGTATAACAAATTATAATTATCAATAAATGAACATTAATGAATATGTCTAAATCAAAGAATATCATAATCTTAAAAACCGATTAGCCATGTATATATATATATTTATATGGTATAATGCTTTATCAAAATATCGTCATTTAAAAGAATATTGACGATATATATACTTGAAAATATCACTTAAGGACGAAATTAGATTTGTGAATAAGATTATAATTAAAGGATACTGCTTTGATACTTTTTTGTAAATGCAAAATTATGTTCTTTGTAATATCTTGAATATGTTTAAAGCAGGGAGACAGAGAGAAATTCACGAAATGTTTCAACCAATAAAAACCAGATATATTATAATAAGGATAAATGTGCACCGCAGATAACCCCAGTGCAGAAGTCTGTGAACTCTGGTGCATGAGAAAAATAGAATATTCCCAGTAATCTCCAGTGTTAACAAAACGTCATGGCGCCTTTTTTTTCACCATTTAGATTTCGACCACTGTTGTGAACCAAGAACAGCATATCTGTGTGCTTTCAACGTGTTCCAAGTTCGGCAAGTTTTCCCGGTCAATGTTTGTGACATGGTCTGAGCCCTCCACTTTCATCTGACATTCCCTCGGCGCTTCAGAAAGTTAACAACTGATCACAATTTTACAGAAAAAAAAAGTATTTAGATATTTATTCAGTGATAAGTGATCAAAGGAAGACACTTGTTTATAACAGCTACGGTGATATGTAATTAAGCATTGAACTGTGCCGATATGGCATTTATAGTTTATATGAATGATACATTACGATTTGCTTGCCTGTAAAGTTATGTCGTTCATATCGACTATAAAGATCATACCAACACATTTAATGTTTATATTAACCGTTTGTGGAGTATCGTAATATCATATATATTATGGTTATAAAAAGTCTACATTCGTGGTTATATCAAGTATGAATCTTCAATTAATGCAACTGCCAGTGGTATCGTACGTTACATCGTTAACGTCAATATAATAACTTTTGAAATTGGTACGTTATATAGTGGCTATGCAACTCAGTGATGAATATATTATAAATGTTACACTCTGAAATTATCTACAGCACGATCTATCCAATACTGGTTTTACCTGTAAACCGTTCGTAGGATTACCTGTGCGTCGTGCTTTACATACACACGTGTATTGACCATCCTGGACCTTACACTCAGCGTTAGTACGACATGGGTCCCTCGTTTCCTAGACAACAATCTTCATATCGTTACCTACCACTGCACACTGTACGACAAAACAGTCAATGAAGACAAATTCCACACCATCCTAGAACAAAAACAATGTTCTCTAATTTTTCAACGAATGTTATAATTTTATTTCGTATATACAAGACATCATACCATGATAAACTAAGCCGTTCTACGTCACCTATCACCTTCTATACAGAGAACACCTCCTATTTATCAACAATGATGTATTTTGTCTCTGGTTTGATATAAGATTCAGAATTGATTTCCTTTTAACAATTAAAATCACTGCAATAATGAATAAAGATAAAATGAGTACTTCAGTTCAAGACAATTGAGTGTCGTAAATTTAATGCCGTTACAATCGACTGTTTTGTGTCACGACTTTTTAAATTGTTTGACCGATAAGTTTTGTAGCTATAATTCATTTATGCAAATATGAACAGTAATACAACTCAAAGTGGCAATAGATTGTTAATACTTACCACCATTGAAATGATGCATGATACATTAATGTGAAATGTATCTCATTACATGGAAAGTTTTCTAATTAAAACAAAAACCTAGCTGTTAATGGCTTCAAAGTATGGTCATTTGGAACCGGATAATTGATTGAAAAAACAGTTGAAAGTACACAACAATACATGCATAGTCGAGCTTAACCCTTTCGAACTTACTTAATCAAATTTTACACTTTTCATTGGTTTTTAACCATGTATTTACGAACGATATGCCATGCGTTTACATGAACAATTTTCCAAGAGACCATGTACGTGCAACACTATTTAAAAACAATCCTTATTGCAAATGTAACCAAACAGACCGTGGGACTTCCCTGATTAGGGGTACAGGCGTTTATTTTGTTTTTGTTGTGCTGAAGTTTCGATGTGAGAATCCTGACCTACTGCAAGCAGACACTAGAGAATACTGCTGTGGTTATCCGTATGCACAGTAACTTTCCCTTAATTTCGTATTGTATAAATCAGAGCACAACGGATATTGGACACTTCTGTTGGCCAGGTAGTTTCAATGATTTATTTAACACTCAGAACACTGTTTTTATTTTTTGTTATTTTTTTTCTAAAATAACGAACTGTGATTTTAGATTGAAATTTTTAAAGTCATTTTCAGACAGGGAATGTTATTTTCTAATCAGTGTAACAATAGTTTGCAGTTGCATGGGGATCCTTATACATATCTACTAAACTCCTGTCAAATTTGCATTCAAACTTTAAGGCCAAACTTAAAGTAAAGAATACTTGAATTTGTGTTTGTATGTCATTTTAGTGTTTATTTCATGTGCCTTCGAGCGATGTCAATATACTGATGCTTTTAATTGGTTTAAAAGTTCGTTGTTTATAGATTCCCATCTGTCAAATTAGAAATCTAATAATTGTTCATTTTCACCAGCCATACAAAGGCCGATTCTTTTGTTATAACCACGTATCATATATTGACGATAAAGCAACAAATTACAAGTAATATATAATCCTCCAAAAATATGTTCAGGTTAAACAGGCAAAACATGATAACTGCATGAATTGTCAGAAATTATCAAAAGTGACAAGTATTTGCGCGCGCGAAAGAACAGCCTAATTTAAATGATTTTAATATGTTTGTCATCTTGCATAATAAAGGCTTATGACCACTTTTTCAGCATTACCATGTGTAGGATTCAGTACAAATTGAACACAATGACTCCAGCGAAAGCATTATGATATTATTTGTCACATGTTATACTCACAGCATTGTTTTTGTTAAATACAGATGTTTGATTGAATTATCTTGATTTTTAAAGCCAGTTTGTAAATACACCTGAATGTGATTGTTTTGAAAACGAGACACAATCAATATTGTGTAAAAAACGAAGTTTCCTCCCCACTAATGGGTCCATCATCTTTCCTAACAAATCCCTTGTCACAAGCACAGCCTGCTGCCATAGGTTTCTTAAAACTGTTGGGGAATTAGGATCCTGACATGAAGCCGGGCAAGCAGTCACCTTTTTGACGTAGTGGGCGTTGGCTCCAGATACGATTTCTAGAACAGGTATCCCGATATGAATGTCCATGTCAAAAATGCTATCTTGGGAGTAAATATGTTCATAAAACAGATACGTTAATATGTCTTATCATGTATAATGTTATAACTTATACACGTTCGGCATAATGACAATCTAGTATGCTGATTTTTTTCTTTTTCAAATCTCATTTGTTGGACGTTTATTACAGATTTTATGTTTAAAACGATTCATTATCCTATTTTTTTCTCTTCTGTGCACGAGTGAACATATCCGATATATAATAGTCAACTGGAAACCTAAGAATATGAGTAATGTCCAGGTATTTCAGTACATGTCGCAGTATGAGGGTAACTTTTAAGGGAACAATGTCCCAAACACAAACTGAAAGTCCAAAACCGCGTGGAGCTTCGCAGCAGATTTTTTTTTAATGAATTGATGCTGAGGAGACGCGAACAAACTCTCTTAGAGATGCGTTTATCGCTTGTTGGTCATGCTAGGTCCCCTGACCATCGGGCATGATTACCTCACTAACTGATCACCTTAGTCGCGCTATGCTGATTGGTCAAGCCTGACCATATGATATACCCCCCTGTAAAGAGAGCCTGGTCATCAAAATAATATGTGATACTCATGAATAACAGATCGTTACCAGCTGGGTGTTGTTTTATTAATGGGATATCCATTTTGAATAAACAAGAGTCAACTTCAATGATTTGCATAACACAAGTTTATAATGACTGACCCAAGTGAACCGATTATGAGTACAGTTATCATCTTATACAATATATCTATTTTTGTGAAATACATTTAATTCATCTAATAATATGTTGATCATAATTCTACACATGAACGATTTCCGTATTTCTTCTTTGGTGAAATATACAAAGCATCAAGGTTGTTAAAAAGTTTGTCATGAATAAGAAAGGTTACATTAAAATTCTATCATGGTACGGGCGTGATACGAACCAGTTCGATGGTAGCGATTTTTTACTCAATTTTCAAATCATTAGTTTTGTTGATTTTTGTTGTTCTTGTTGTTGTTTGCATTTGAGGTATTCAATAAACAATGCTGCTGCACTGTACATTTTATAGTAAGTCAATCGAAGTGTGTGTTTTCACGCTTTACAGCAAATTTTGCAAACATTTCTTCTGACACAATGGGTCAATTATACAATGGTTTCTCCTCATACAATGTAAGTAATCAATAAATAAATATGTGCTGCAACTACTTCAAACCATCACCTAAAGCAAAAGACAAATGGTCGTATACATATACATATTTCATCACTCTCTACCCCATGTTATTTCTTTGTTAACACTTTTACCTTATACAGCGTAGCATAATTGATTCCCTATCAATAGATAAATAAATTTTATTATTTTACAACAATTATGAAACGAGTTATTCAACTTAAATTAAGCAATCTTGTCTGCCCGGAAGTTAGGGCGCAGGTGGTCTTTGTGTGGGAGGAAACCGTAGAACCCGGAGAAAATCCATGTGGTTGGGCAGGTGACCCCATACCTTTTCACGTCAGATCGGGGAATCGAACCCCGGCCGCCTTGGTGAAAGGCAAGTGCGCTATCCACTGCACCACCCGATCACCAAGATTACCTATCAAACGAATTTTGTTTTCTATTTTCTCTAAATAACAGGATTTTTAGGAATTTATGTTGTTGAAAAGTTTCAACAAATAACAAAACGCATGACCAGTAGCGCAGAAATCAAGCTCCCTGTTTTATAATAAAGAGGTGCTTGGTTCACATCCCAATAGAGTAGATACCCTTATGAACGAGAAATGTATTATGATTTCATTTCTATCGTATGTAATTTTTCCTACATCAAAGGGGCAAGCAACTCAAAGTCATATTTATACTCATTGGAACTCTTCTTCAATAGAGATCAAATACAGACGGAGCGTAAGAACTCTTTAGTTTGAATTTTATTATTAATGCTATTGAATAGAGGTTTTTTGAATATGTAAAATATGTTTTAATTATGAAATTGAGGATTGGGCCTCCTATTATTACTCGTCCGTATAAGTTTGTGGGTCAACGTCACAAGAATGTCATTATTTGCCTGCCATGTAAAATCCGTTAATTATTTTATGCATGGGAATTTGTAAGACAATAAATATAATTTCAACTTTACGAAAAAACCTTTCTTGATTTCCTCAATATTTCCATTTATAAAATAATCTATTAGGACTGGAGATGTACGTTCGTTTCATCAATAGATAATGAAGTTGAGGTCCAATAAAACACACTAGGATAGCTGACAAATAATAAAAAAAATCAAGTTTGTTAGCAATATACACCGACCAGCAATATAGATGTAAGACCACACACTGGTGTTTTTCTAACGAATCAGAAAGCACGAGTTTATTGCGCGGACCAATATATATTCACGAGTGCGCGGAGCACACGAGTTAATATATACGTCCGCGCAATAAACTCATGTGTGTGGTCTTGCTTTTATCACATACCTTCCGTATTTGGCAGAGGTCGATACAAAGATTTTATAAACGTTGATATTTTTTGCAAATACCGGGAACTTTTCAGTTCGCCATGACAGGGGGATTCCATAAAAAGTAGTTCCGGCTAGTAGGTAAAATACAACATTTCGTATTGCACATGTGCAATACAGAACGTTGTATTTCATGGTCTGAAAATTGCTTGTATTACTATAACAAGATTCAACAGGTATGTGATAAAAATGCTTATTATATGACCACGACACCATTTGTGTGTGTAAAACAGAAATTACTTTACATTTTCCTCTTACATATCCAAAGGCGTCAATGTCAATATTCATATTTTGCTCTAATATCATCGTTTGTGAGTTCGAAGTACGTATTTGATTACACATAGATGTTCTGTTGTCTATTTGTGAAACTGGAATTAATGCTTAATTCAATAATTCCACTGTCCTAAAGTCTGTTTGTGAAGTTTGTTTTGGAACAGCAATGTCGATGTAATCTCAATCAGATATACGTGACATCACAGTTGAAGTAACATGACTACATGTATTGCACTCTCTAAATATTGCAATGAAATATATAGAGGTTACACAACGAGTGGTTGTTGAATATGGTATTTATTTCACTCGAGTTAGTTAATTTTCAAAAGTTACAAAAGACTCGAGCTTTAGCAACAACTTCATGAAAAAATATAATAGATGAACGACTTTAAATATTGAGAGTAGCTGTATTTCATTGATTTATATAAATTAACCACGGACTATATGCGCGTAAGCATATCGTACGAAGTCTGCCTCCCGCCAAGTGACGAACTTATCGCTGTGAATGTCCAAAACCATAGGCCTACGTTTCTTCTTGACGGTTCTTTGGTTGACGTTTATAGTGAAAGTTCAGCCATAGTCAGGCCGTCCAAATAGCGATAACGGGACGTTGGGAGAACGAAATATTTTCCGACACTGTGGCAGATCTTTATTTGTTTTGGTTTCACGACCTGGACACGCGACGGTCGAAACGATACCGATCGTCTGTAGCAATTTTGCCTGAACCTAGCGATCAAATCTTTAAGTATCATCTTCTTTTAATATTGCCTTAATAACCCCCTTTTCCGGAAATCCTCATAAAGTCACCTACATTTGTCGGATGTTGATAGCAGACGACGTAAACAAAACAGCATGTGGCAAAAAGCAAGTGGAAAAAGTCATCCCGGTCAAAGTTCATCTTCTCGTCCAATCAAAACTCTTGCAGGTCATATACCACGTGTGGTATATAACTCATATTTATCTAACAGTCTGCGTGTTTATATAATGATCTGAGAGTGGAATAACACAGCGTATTGTGGTAGAAAATACTATTTCATGGGATACCCCCCTTTTTAACTTTCATTTTTTATTTTTTTTTATTTTTCCCCTTTGAACGGGAGGTCGAATGAAACATGATTCCATCAATGTTAAATATTAGTAAAGTGGTCAAGAATGGATGTATGTTATAAACGACTAGGGGAAATATGATGGAACAAAACAATCACAGTTAACAGTCTTTAGCACTAAATTGTGTATACATTTACAAAATTTTCGTTGGTATTATGATTAACATAAACTACCTTCTATACTTTAAAAATTGAACTTTCTTTATAAATGGAATGAGATAAGATAACAATAAGGTTATTTAAAACCTATTTTTTTTTTTAAAAAAACACGTTAATATCGGTTGCTTGATGGTGGAATACCGGTTTAGGGGTGTCAAGATGATTGGAATTCCTCTTTAGTGGGGTCTGGATGGTTGGTAAACCGGTTTATTGGTTTCTGGTTGGTTGGAATTCCTCTTTCGTGGGGTCTGGGTTTGGTAAACCAGTTTAGTGGTTTCTGGTTGGTTGGAATTCCTCTTAAGTGGGGTCTGGATGATTGGAAATTCGGTTTAGTGGTTTCTAGTTGGTTGGAATTCCTCTTTTGTGGGGTCTGGATTATTGGTAAACCGGTTTAGTGGTTTGATGTTGGGAATACCACTTCAATGGTGCCATGATGTTTTAAATACCAGTTAAGGGGTATATCATTATACAACAATTATCATACAGGTTTTCCGAATTATTTTAATCACACTTATTTGCATAGACGAAAGTGCGAGATAGTCTGAATGTGGACGGAACCGGAATTCCTGAAGAAAATTCCACGTTGATGAACATGTGTTCCCATTATGCGCTCTCTACATAGTGTATGAAAATATTATTTTCAAGGAACGCTTTTTTAAATTTGCTCACGAATTCTTTAATATATTTTGGTTCATTACAAATAAAAATCAGGAAATAAGCAGTCCGTTCCTGTCGCCGAATAACAACTTGTCGTGTTCTCAACAACTGAAAATAAAAACAAATTAGCATGAAATATATTGTTTAGGAATGAAAACAACAAAATTATTCTAACTTCTTAATTGAGTTTGGTGTAATACAGATGTAATTCATAATGAATTATCAAATGCAGGTTTTAACTCTTTACATTTTATATTAAACATACAAACACAGGTAGATTTGACACCATCACGATATGTTTTTGGATATTTTACACACAAACAACATGAAATTATCATCGAGTTTTTGTCATTAAATAGATAGTGATCTTTTACTTCCTAATAATGTTTTGATTTTTAGAAATATTATTTTTTGTTACGTTGAATACACTTCATACCTTTACATTGATGAGTATTCAAATATTCATTCAGTCATGCTATTTTTATTGATTTTATCGTAACAATGAATTTGTATGTTCAAATTTAAATGTAGAAGTTAATTGGTTGCCTCTAAGGAAACTATCATTCATCATAGCGATAAAACACAAAGTTTTATTTCAAAGTGTTAAACATAATATATATTCCCAATGTAAGAGAAACTAGTTGCTTGTACTGTCTGAACTATGGAGTATTGGGAGACAGAGTTTCTATTCCTGTTATCGGATCAATTGCATCAGTTCTCGAATGATCTTAATATTTAAATCACTTCCTGTACAAGTCATTTACTTGTTCGTAACTATTCAAATATCTTTACAAAAGGATGGAATGAAAATCCAAGAAAGAGAGAGAGAGAGAAAAGAAAGATATCATTGTTATTGTAGTATATATTCAAACCAGACTAGATGAACACCATAGTCGGTGTACAATTAGAAACAATAAAGCACATAATCTACTTACTAGAGAATATCACAATATTCCCATTTTGTTTTGGATTTTGGGTCGTCAACAAAGCACCAGGGTCGTTTACGGGCGACAGGATTAGGGTTTCTGCAGTAATTTGCCTGTCGTGACAGCTTTTTGTAAAACTTGTTGGCCTGTGGGTATTGCGAGGACCAGGACTGACACAGACGTCCGGAAGCTGTGATGCCCCATGTGCCCTTATATTCAGTGCCCTTCCTCGTCTTCTTGCATTCTTGAGCATAACGAGATAGAATTCAGACAAAATCCAAACAAAATATAATCAATACACAGTGTTTTTTTTTACAAAACTTTTGAAAACTTTGCAAAGTAATTGTCATTAGATATTTCGTTTCACATGTAACATATCATTTTCCATGTACATGAATATAAGATATTTTTGAACAAGTCTATGACAATAAATACATTAAAGAGCATAGAATACCATGTAGTAAACTTCATATAGTGTTTCAACTGAACCAGATTGTACAGGTATATCATAACAATATCTTAACGTTGGATAACATTATACAATACGCACAAAATATGAAGAATATTTTGTTTTCTTAAATAACTGGTCTCCATTAAGGGATAAATTAGAACGAATTATGTGATATACATTTATCACTCTTACCTGTATTAGGAGTTGGTATCGGCTTATACGAATTTCTTTCTACAAAATAAACAAATTTCTTCAGTAGTTTATTGTTATGAAAGTAAGTATGAAAATATCTGTTTAAAGTGTTTCTAGCAAATGCTTGCATTTCAAGTCGAATCAAATATTAATCCGTTATTAATGTTCATCACCGTAATGTTCCTTACTTGACAAGAAACCAAATCACAATATTACTCAAAGTGACGAAATACAAATTATTGCAATATTGAATATAAATTTATTATTAGGACGTCAGTAAAAAACAATACTCAACCTGGCATATAGCATATTTTAAAGGTGCCTCCACATCCGCCATTGACCCAAACTTCGTCCTTTTCTCTTCCATAGGTGAGGCCGAACACACATTTCGGGTCGTCCACCTGATCGATCCAAGTGACACGCCGCACTCCCTCTTTCTTACATCGTTTGGAATTACCATTTTGACTCGAACAAGACACTGTAGTTGTTGCAATGCATCCAGGCTTTTTCCCATCTTAAGAATCAAGGCATTCATTTTTAATGATTTTTCTGTAAGAACTCCAGTGATTTTATTTATAATCAGGCGGAATGAAATCGGCTTTGAGAATTTTTTATTATTTTTCAACACTTTCATGTTTAATTACAAAATTCATGAATACAAAAGGCAGAAAATATATCTATGCATATAAATAAACTAAATAAGATCAAACGACCGACTAAAAACCTAGCTGCTGTTACCCTTCACATGGCTCTTTGGGTTTTCTACCTGAAGATCCATGTGAAGAGTGAAAGAAGCTAGTACTTTGGTCGGTCCTTAGATCTTATTTTATCTATATTTACTTACTTCACATGGACATTTAATCGTTTCATATTATACAAATATATATATTTGTTTGACTTTGCTGTGAAAGACGAACATCATACTCACACAGGTGATTGCACCTAAAACATTTGATACAGTATGTTCAAAATTAATTACCCTGCGCCATACAGTTCTTCCATCCTACTAGAATTCATTGGTCATGCTAGGGGCCAAAAAGTTGGAAATCCGAATTACCAAAACTACCGTTAAAACAGAAGGGCAGATGCGTAAAACCAGTGCGTAAAAGACTCGTCGTTTATGCTAGAGGCAAATATGTAAAATGTGTAATGTCGTCATATCGTTTCTTATTTGCCATAATGTAACATCAATTAGTTTATATGAAGGATTTAGTTTAAATTATTTATAAGGTTACAATAGCATATACAATACTAAAATGACCATATTTAGTATAAAAAAATAACGATTAACACACTACTCTTGGTCAAATTCCACAACTGGTGTTTTTTTGCAGTTTTGTTTTTGTTTTCTTCTCCGTGTGGTCAAATTTATACGCTAGCATATTCGTTAAACCACCTGTATGAACCGGCTCAGCATGTTGTTTTTAAGAGATTAAGTCTAAACAGCCAATCAACAATATAAACTTTAACCAAGGAATTACAATTAATGCACAAAATCATTTTCAACTCAAACATATCCTCTAAGCAGGGGATAGTAAGAAGATTTCCGATTCATCAGCAGAGCGTATACGAATCATAAACTAAGCTGTATCTATTTTACAACAATTTTATAACAAATTCATCTTCTCCTTTTTACCACTCGTTTTGATCCAGATAGAAACGCTTAAGCAAAAGGGTTCTCCATGCAAAAGCAAACACATATACCTAGAGAAAACCCACGCGGTAAGGCATTTATCCCCGTTTTTTTCATGTTCAATTAGGAAACCGAATCCCAGTTGTCTTGCTTAAAGTCGACTACGATATTTCCTGCACTACTCGACCACCCCACTTCGACTTCAATGATCATGTTGTGGAATGAAGAAACGTACTTATTTTGCAATATTGCTTAATCAAAGGAGTGGAAAAGTAGGCGGCATATAAATGATACAGTGTGCGATTCATGAACCTAAAGCAATGACCATATATATATATACAGTAGCCCCGCTAACTTGAATTCGTTAGGTCCTGATCAATACATGGTCTTCGAAGGATCCGAGGTTCGACCGACAGTGCAAATATCGCGGATAGTAAATGAAATAAGTAAAACAAAACAGCTTAATAAATATGAGAACACTCAGTAAGATATGAAATAGTTGAACAATGAAAGCATGTAGCCTATTAGGAAAGTATAACGTACTTGTCGTTTTGACATAGTCCGCCATACTGTAATTGACTAGGTTAATTTTACAAAATATCAAAACGAGAGGAACTCCTCACTCATTTTAAAATAGAGAAAATCTTGAATCCTTGTTATCATAATGTTGATTGATCGAAGTTAACAATCACGACGCATTCAAGTTTGAATATCTTAAAAGATGGTCGAGAATCCGTTGTGTGGTTTCCGTTTAATATTGCCATGCCGAAATATAGTTTTGCACACCCAGTGAATTAACACTTCCGCCAAATCATCGATGTCAAAGCATCGTCTGGAAATAACAAATATTATTATTTATTACGTAAAAAATACGCACACAAAATGATGATGCAGCTATTTAATGATACTGTTATTAATCCTCTAACTATCAGATGTCCGGCCGACACCTGTATAAGCACAATAAGCGTGGTCGATGGCACGCGGCGATACACGCGGGCTGATTTTGATGGTAAGTCACAATACGAACACAAGGAAAGATCAGAATCTAAATTGCCTGTCAGTATCAACGATGTACCTGTTCGACGAATGGATAGGTAAAACACTCAGGTTTTGAGTTATCGGGAATAAACATAAAAGTTCGAGGAATACGGGGTATTCGAGCAATGGCTGTCCGAGTAATCCAAAATTTATTTACAAAGAATATAAAAGACCACGGTTGGGACCAAGCAAACTATGCGAGGAATAGGGGGTATTCGAGCTATGCGAGTTCGAGTTAGTGGGGTTTCACTGTAGTATATAGTACCGTAAATATACATTTACGACGACGATTATGACTTAAAATAACTGCACGCATGTCCAATTGCACGGCAATTTATAAGACGAGTCGATCCTGACAAAGTTTCCATTTTATACAATTTTGCTGACATCATATTTCTGTCGACGGTTGACACTCAGGACATTCTAATTGTCTTTCGCTAAAATACGAGGCATTCACATAGACCTCATCACGCAGTAAAACCTTAAAGTTCAATGTTAATAATTCAATGTAAGAAGATATACTTAAAACACACTGGAACTTCTTACTAAAGGTAGTAACAACTGTTAATGGAAAAGTTTATACATGATACACATAGATTATCAAAACATAGATGAGATGTGTCAATATTTATATCATATATACTTACCACACATAGGTATGTCACAATATTCCCAGTCATTTCCAGTTTTAACGAAACACCATGGCGCCTTTTGTTCACTATTTGGATTTCGACAACCGTTGTGCGCACCAAGAATCGCATATCTGCGTGCTTTCATAGTGTTCCAAGTTCGGCAAGTTTTCCCAGTTACTGTTTGTGATACCTCTCCTTGATAGTCCGCGCCCTCCAATTTCTTCCGACATTCCCTCGGCGCTTCAGTAAAAAAATCAAACAATAAAAAACTCCAGAAAACAAAGTTGACCTATTTAATTACTGATTACTACCAAGATAACATGCTTGTTCATTATAACTACGGTGGTATGTAATTAATCAACGACTGTGTTAATATGACATTTACATATTTATGAATGACACATGATGATTTGTGTGCCTGCAAAGCTGTGTCATTCATTTCGATTGTAATGAAATATCAACACAGTGACACAGTGTAATGTTGAAAATTCAAAATGTTGCAAGTATTGTAAGATCAGAGAAAGAGATATGTGCTAATTAAAATGTTGCATTCGTCAATATTTTGTGTAAGATTGCTCGAAGAATAGAGCAGCCAATTTAATATTACTTAACCGTCATACTTTGAAATTGTTTACAACATGACCTATCCTATACTGAACATCGTTGTCTTACCTGTACACGCCTTCAGAGGATCTCCTGTGTGTCGTGCCTTACATACACACGTGTATTGACCACCCTCAAGTTTACACTCAGCGTTAGTACCACATGGTTCCCTCGTTTCCTTGACAACAATCTTCATCTCGTTACCTACTGCTGTACATTGTCTAACTACCGAACAATCGCTTGAAATAAACTCTGCACCATCCTTGAATAAAAAACAAATTATCCATTTCTTGAAAGAATTGTAAAACATTATTTTGTAATTGCAGGACAGTATAACATGGAAAATGCACTCATTCTACGTCAAATCAAAAACTTCGTACAGAGGACACTTCCTCCTTATCGACAATATAACTGGTTTGAATAATTTAAGTTATTGGAATTATTTTAGTAAAAGGATTTCTTTACTTCAGAACATTTGAAGTTTGATAATTTAATGCCGTTACATTCTATGTTGTGTCACATTTTTTAAACCGTGTAATCAACATTTGTGGTATAGCGGTTAAGTGGTAATGGATTGTTAGCCCACAACACTACATATATTGCCAACAATTAACCGTTTCTGATTCACTAAATCAAATTGTACCATGTCTGCGATGTAACGACATTTTTTACTGGTGAATAACCATGTACTATTTGACGATAGGCCATGTGCGTGTATGTTTTTTAACAGACAATGCACGTGCGACGCTCTTCCGAAAACCCTCTAATGTATTGCAAATGTAACGAGCTAACCGAGGGCGTTCACGAATTGTTTTATTTCGAATTTATATATATTATATGTAGCGTAAAATTGTGAGGTGCAGGATTAGAATCCTGGTCAAGACCCGCTGATTCATTTTTTACACTCAAAATACTGTTGTTGACTTAAAATAGTTTTCTTACTAAAAGATAGATATATGAAAGCTACTGATATGCTGGACATATTAATTTCCAAAGAATAGTTGCAGTTTTTGGCAGTGGTGGGGGATCCTTTACCTCTAAATCTATTACATATTGACAAGCTCATCAAGAAACTGTTCCGCCGAACTTTCCCTGGGGGTGACTTGAAATAGTGTTTTTGGTTGTCTTTAAAGTTTTGATTTCATTGGCTGACGAGCTATATCACTATACAGACGCTTTTGATGGATTGGAATGGTCATTGTTTAGAGTTTATCATCTGTCAAATTGAGCATACAATGGCGACTGAAAATAAAGCTTGTTTGGATTTCAAACCCGAAATTGGAGATAAGGTCTTTTATCAAATCACTACGTACAAAGTTGTTCACTCTCACCACCCGTACAAAAACTTTGATCATAATCAACAAACTATGAGTCTTATATAATCCTCCCAACAGATTTAACAGACAAAACAGAACAATAGCCCACAGTATCTCGCATATAACGTGCAAAAAATAACATGAGATAACAATGAGGCCAGTGAAGTCATTATTCGTTCAATGGATATCCTCAGCTTTATATAAAAATAACAATAATAATAATAAGATACAATATTTGATATAGCGCCCTCTCTAGCTAGCATAAGCCACTCTAAAGCGCTTTCAATACATAGATATACAATTAACATATACATTAAACAGTACAATTTTTGAGGAATTCGCAGGAGCTTCCCTATCAGGCGCGAACTACTAGTCCTATGCCACCTGGCTAATGCCCCCCTACGTGTGCTGGATATATAATGTGTTCTGGTTATATTGGGACCGTGCTTCTAACGGTATCATGTATAGTGCCACCTCACTTGAATGCTACAACACAGATACCGCAACATCCACCCCAGATCAATTAATACTCCAACTGGGTTATTGGAGTTCTGTGGGCAGGAGAACACCACTCTCTCTCTGAATATTCCATGCGTACGACTTCGGGGATCGTGGAAAGCCGGAATGTTAACCACTCGACCACTCCGCCCAAACTAAACCGAATAGAATCGTTTAGTTGACTGCTGTCGGCTTTTAAAGCTAGTTTGTACTCCCGAACATCTCATCGCTATAGTTTATTTGATCGTTTTTAACGTTAAACACAAACAACAGTATGCTCAGAATGAAGTTACCGACCTGATATTGAGTTCCATCATCATCTTTACATCCACATTCCTGAACACGTATACATTGTCCATCATTCCTCACAAATCCCTTGTCACAGGCACAGCCTTCTGCCATGGGTTTCTGACAACTGCTGGGGGCTGTAGGATCCTGACATGAGGCCGGACAGGCAGTCACCTTTTTGACGTAGTGGGCATTGGTTCCACAGGTAATTTCTGAAACAGGTATATCGATATGGCAGACCATGTGAAATATTCTATTCGAGAAAAGATTTGTCAAAGTTCATAAAATAGATACGTTAATGTGGCTTTACATGTATACTGTTATATATCATAAAAGTTCTGGTTATTCATATATATTGTTATATCTTATACAAGTTCTGGTTATTCATATATAATGTTATAACTTATACAAGTTCTGGTTATTCATATATAATGTTATATCTTATACCAGTTCTAGTTATTCATATATACTTTTATATCTTATACAAGTTCTGGTTATTCATATATAATCTTATATCTTATACCAGTTCTGGTTATTTATACATAATGTTATATCTTATACAAGTTCTAGTTATTCATATATAATGTTATATCTTATACCAGTTCTAGTTATTCATATATACTTTTATATCTTATACAAGTTCTGGTTATTCATATATACTTTTATATCTTATACAAGTTCTGGTTATTCACAATTAATGTTATATCATATACAAGTTCTGGTTATTCATAATTAATGTTATATCTTATACTAGTTCTGGTTATTCATAAACAATGTTATATCTTATACAAGTTCTGGTTATTCATAATTGATGTTATATCATATACAAGTTCTGGTTATTCATATATAATCTTATATCTTATACCAGTTCTGGTTATTTATACATAATGTTATATCTTATACAAGTTCTGGTTATGCATATATACTGTGATATCTTATACCAGTTCTGGTTATTCATATATAATGTTATAACTTATACAAGTTCTGGTTATTCATATATACTTTTATATCTTATACAAGTTCTGGTTATTCACAATTAATGTTATATCATATACAAGTTCTGGTTATTCATAATTAATGTCATATCATATACAAGTTCTGGTTATTCATAATTAATGTTATATCATATACAAGTTCTGGTTATTCATATATAATGTTATAACTTATACAAGTTCTGGTTATTCATATATAATCTTATATCTTATACCAGTTCTGGTTATTTATACATAATGTTATATCTTATACAAGTTCTAGTTATTCATATATAATGTTATATCTTATATAAGTTCTGGTTATTCATATATACTTTTATATCTTATACAAGTTCTGGTTATTCATAATTGATGTTATATCATATACAAGTTCTGGTTATTCATAATTAATGTTATATCTTATACTAGTTCTGGTTATTCATCTATAATGTTATATCTTATACAAGTTCTGGTTATGCATATATACTGTGATATCTTATACCAGTTCTGGTTATTCATATATAATGTTATAACTTATACAAGTTCTGGTTATTCATATATAATGTTATATCATATACAAGTTCTGGTTATTCATATGTAATGTTATATCTTATACTAGTTCTGGTTATTCATCTATAATGTTATATCTTATACAAGTTCTGGTTATTCATATATAATCTTATATCTTATACCAGTTCTGGTTATTTATACATAATGTTATATCTTATACAAGTTCTGGTTATTCATACATAATGTTATATCATATACAAGTTCTGGTTATTCATAATTAATGTTATATCTTATACTAGTTCTGGTTATTCATAAGCAATGTTATATCTTATACAAGTTCTGGTTATTCACAATTAATGTTATATCATATACAAGTTCTGGTTATTCATATATAATCTTATATCTTATACCAGTTCTGGTTATTTATACATAATGTTATATCTTATACAAGTTCTAGTTATTCATATATAATGTTATATCTTATATAAGTTCTGGTTATTCATATATACTTTTATATCTTATACAAGTTCTGGTTATTCATACATAATGTTATATCTGATACAAGTTCTGGTTATTCATATATAACGTTATATCTTATAAAAGTTCTTGTTATTCATATATAATGTTATATCTTATACAAGTTCTGGTTATTCATATATAATGTTATATCTTATACAAGTTCTGGTTATTCATATATACTCTTATATGTTATACAAGTTCGACATTATCACGATTTAACATGCTGTTTTCAAAGAAGTTACTCGATTGGTAATCGTGACAGATTTTGTAATGAGTGTCAAGTACAGAAAGTAGGTCATGTGGACTTAGGTTGACCTTTTAAAAAATGTGTCCATGGCATATTTTCTATACTTTTTTTCACCTGAAGTATTTGATATTTAGAATTGATATCTAATTATTTGATATGTTGCCCTCGATTTTAACAGTTCACTATCAAACATATAAGATATATAAGACACTTAACGGAAAACTTATGAATTTTCTCTTCTATTACTTCCTGAAATTATGGGAGATTGCTGTATCGGTACAATCGTGTGCTTTTTTTTTTTTATCTTATTTGAATTTTGACGAACAGAGCGTTCGAGCAGTAAATCAGACCACCTTGTCAAACAAGCGAAAGGGAGATTGTCATTGTCCCGTCAAAATTAATATTAAGCTGGAATATTCGACTAACGTAACAATCAAATGTTGCCTTAATATAGTGACGTCATTATTAACTTTATATTAGATCATCACATTTGTATAGTTATGTGACCACACACAACACAACGCGACAAAAATTGCGTGCGCACACCGTTCGCAGATCGTTCACAAATGGTCACACAACGGTGCGATTTAACAATCGTTATCCCCGTTGTGCGAATCTCTCTGAATAAAATGTGCGATTTGGTACAAGTAGTTGATCAATAAAACGGAATGGAAATAATCTGGGAGTTTCGAATGGAATGAAGAACACTGTATATAAAAAATTCTTATCATATTTATTAAAATTATGTTTAATTTCACATTGCGTGTTACACATTCTTACAGTAACCGTTAGACTGTCAAGAATGGGTTTGGCTCCCAGGTAACAGAACAGTTAAGTAACATTTTGATGAAAGACCAGAGGTTTATCTGGCGCCCTGTGCCTGAAATAGAGAGCCGATATATGATAACGTAAGTCTGTTATGAAAACACAAAAGGACATTCAATTTTGGTATTTGCATTCGCTTTGGTCTATAGCCCGTAGGTAGAATATATATAAAAAATCAAGTTTATATGTTAAACACGAAACCGCATATATTATTGGCGGATTGGTCGAGTGGTTACTTTCCGGCCTTCCACGCAGGCGGCCGGGGTTCGATCCCCGATGTCGTGGTACGGATGGAATATTAAGAGAAAGGGTTTCTCTCCTGCCCACACAACACAGGTGTAGTATACATTGGTTTGGGGTGGATGCTGCGGTATCTGTGCTGTTGCATTCAAGTGAGGTGGCACTATAAATACATTTGGAAGCACGGTCCCACTACAAACAGAACGCATTACATCTCCAGCACACACACAGACAAACACACATAAGGAGATACTAGCCAGGTGGCATAGGACTAGTAATTAGCGCCTTATAAGGCACTTCCAGCGAATTCCTCAAAATTGTAATGATTAATGTATATGCTAATTGTATTGATGAATTGTATATCTATGCACTGTAAAACGCTTAAGGGTGCCTTATTCTAGCTAGATAGGTCGCTATATCAAATATTGTATGCTATAATGTTTCATATGTTATTAAGCCAGTTCACAATTTACACCAACCACGATTGTTATCGCACAACGTTGGTCCATCGTCCGCACAAAATTTGCTCAAGCAATATTCGACCGTAGATCATTATCGTTTGAAAAACGGATAGTTTATAAAAGACACAACTATATAGGATATTTTTTTCAGGTAAAAGTGAGCGGTGTGACATGTATAATCTTAGCGAGACTTTGGCAAACAAAAACAAAAAAAGATTGCGAAAATGATCACCATTCTACAATAGATTGAAAACGAATTAAACATCATATTTATGATGTGATTAAGAGGTCTTTTTATATATTGAAAACAACAGAAGTTATAAAATCGTCATTAATTGATAAGTATTCTATCTTGCTTTTCCTACTATAATCTTTTTACAACTTTCGTACCTGTACAACCCTTCAGGGGGTCCCCCTTGTGTCGTGCCTTACATACACACGTGTATTGACCATCCTGGAGTTTACACTCAGCGTTAGTACCACATGGGTCCCTCGTTTCCTTGACAACAATCTTCATCTCGTTACCTACTGCTGTACATTGTCTCACTACTGAACAGTCCTTGGAGACGAATTTAGTTCCCAACTGCAAATATGAGGCATTTCATTTGATATTTACAATAAATTAATATTTAATTCACATATTTTAAAAAAAATGAGATAAAACCTTGGGGTAAATATAAAACAGAATGCAAACATGTACACCATCATAATCATTAAATGTTATAGGGGATAATCACTTAATGAAATAACTTATCATTTCAATAGGGTCTACATTTTTTACGTCTCTAATCCTGTATTTAAGGAAAGTTGATATCTGCTTGTTGATCTAACACAAAATGTAAAACTAACAAAATAACATATATGGAAAAAGCAATGAAAACCAATTAGACAGGAAAACGTGAATAATAGGTGAAAGTAAAATAGTAGAATAAAAGCATAATAGAAAAAAAAGTAGAGAAATAAAGTAAGTAGAAAAAGTTAAACAGAAAAAGTAACACATTAAGAAGAAAAAAAATTCCAAAATTAAGGGTAAGTACAGAAAAGTTTAATAAACAGAGAACTGCACAATGATAGATCAAAACGAGTTAAAATGAGACAAAGTATAATAAAGAAACTATAAAAACAAACCAGAGGGGAAACTTGAAATGGAAAACTAAAAAAAAGTAACATAGAAAAGGTGAATACGTACAAAAAAGAAATATAAAAGAAACATATTTTTTAAACCGTTTAAACCGTTAGCAAGTTAAACAAACAAAAAAGTAAAAATAAAAAATGACATAAAAATAAACTATCGTTTCATACAAATAGTTTTGCATTATTTGGTTTCAATAATATATACCGGGTAGTATTGCCCGTCGTCGTCAGTACAACCACATTCGGCCACGCGAACACAGCGTTGGTTACTGAGAACATACCCTGTATCACATTCACACCCCTCAACTGCGTTCCCAGTGCATTTGCTGGGGGCTTCCCTGTCCACACACGTGGCAGGACAAGCTGACATATCAGCACTGTAGTGCGAGTTTGGTCCACACGGTAATGCTTAGTAAAAATTAAGATAAACGCAGAAGAAAATTTAGAACTATGTTACAGCATTGTAATTTAAATAAATATTTCAATACTGGATAATTACGCCTCAATTTTAACTTTATAGAACCGCTAACCTTTCGGCGATGTCTCCCTAGTCACATGAGGTTATTTCCAGGTCTGAATGATGTTACTGCCATGATACATTGGCCAAGTTACGATATTTCAGTAAGATAAAAAGGCTCGTTAATGGACATTGTGTTCATTTGGGGAAAACTTAAAGCAAACTTGACAAAGACGAAGCTTACGACAGAGCGTCGACGTCCTCCATTTGACTGTGATACCTCCCATTGCACACAGGTAGGAAAGGTCACTGACGTCATCACAGAGCACCTTCTCGAGAGTTTTCCCTTCCGTGTTGTCAACCCTATAAATAATTAGTTACAAACATTATGCTTCCCTCGTAATAAAGTTACATTTCATTATATTTTAGTGACTGAGATGAATAAAACACATACAATTAATTAGTGTACAGACTTCAAAATGTGCGTTTTCGATAACCTGGCGTTGAACAGCCCGTGTCCCTATGTCTTACCTGAACGCACAGTAATCATACACACAAGAACTAAATAGAAGTCCAGCGGTTTCTCTATAACTTTTGAAACACTCGCTGAAGGCACTTTGTGTAGTACTTGTTGGGTCCATGACTCTACAGACGGACGTTGTTTCTCCCTCCGTCTTAAACGTTGGGTTCTGTGCACAAGGGTGGAAATCTTCTACTTTTTTGCAACTGAAACATAAATTTGGGAATAATCATGAGTTTACCTCGTTTCATAATCAAGTTTGCCTGTGTTTTCTCCTTCATCAGTGAATCAAATTAAATTAGCTGTCGAAATGTGTAACATTGTGAAGGCCTCAATTGCTGCAATATAGTATAATCGAAAGCAAATTGAACAACATTTTAGCCATTTTTAAAAGGTCTTCGTTGAAACGAGCAGCAATCAAAACATAACGAGGACCAAGGAAAACATACACTACAGCGTCAACATACAAGAACAACATACCCTACAGTGTCAGCATATAAGGATAACATACCCCACAGCGTCATCATACAAGGACAACATACCCTACAGCGCCAATACACAAGGACAACATACTCTACAGCGTGAACACACAAAGTCAAGATAAATCACAGTGTCAACACAAAAAGGCAACATACACTACAGCGTGAATACACAAGGACAAAATACACCATAGTGTCAACATACAAGGTCAACATACCCTACAGCGTCAACATACAAGGACAACATACCATACAGCATCAACATACAAGGACAACATACCCTACAGCATTAACATACAAGGACAACATACCCTACAGCGTGAACACACAAGGACAAAATACACCATAGTGTCAACATACAAGGACAACAAACCCTATAGCGTGTACACACACGAACAAAATACACTACACTGTCAACACACATCGTCATACCCTACAGCATAAACACAAGGTCAAGATATATCACAGCGCCAACATACAAGGAGAACATACCGTACAGCGTTAACACAAGGTCAAGATATATCACAAAGTCAACATACAAGGACAAGATATATCGCAGTGTCAACATACAAGGTCAACATACACTACAGCGTGAACACACAATGATAAAATATATTACAACACCAACATACAAGGACAACATACTCTACAGCGTGAACACACAAGGTCAAGATATATCACAGCGTCAACATACAAGGTCAACATACTCTACAGATGAAACACACAAGGATAAACTATATCATAGCGTCATCATACAAGGATGACATATCCTACAGCGTGAACATACAAGGACAAAATATATTACCGCGCCAACATACAAGGACAACATACCCTACAGTGTGAACAAAGAATGATAAAATATATTACAGGGCCAACATACAAGGAGAACATACCCCTACAGCGTTAACACACAAGGTAAGATATATCACAGCGCCAACATACAAGGTCAATATACCCTACATAGTGAACACACAGGCACAAAATATATTACAGCGCCAACAAACAAGGACCACATACCCTACAGCGTTAACACACAAGGACAAAATATATTACATCGCCAACATACAAGAACAACATACCCTACAGCGTGAACATACAATGACAAGATATATCACAGCGTCAACATACAAGGACAAGATATATCGCAGTGTCAACATACAAGGTCAACATACCCTACAGCGTGAACACACAAGGACAGAATATATTACAGCGCCAACATACAGGGACAACATACCCTACAGTGTGAACGAAGAAGGATAAAATATATTATAGCGCCAGCATACAAGGACAACATACCCTACAGCGTTAACACAAGGTCAATATATATCACAGCGTCAACATACAAGGACAACACACCCTACAGCGTGAACACACAGGGACAAAATATATTACAGCGCCAACATACAAGGCAACATACCCTAAAGATGAAACACACAAGGATAAAATATATTACAGCGCCAACATCCAAGGAGAACATACTCTACAGCGTTATCACATGGTCAAGATATATCGCAGTGTCAACATACAAGGTCAACATACCCTACACCGTGAACACAAAATGGTAAAATATATCACAGCACCAACATACACGGACAAGATACCCTACAGCGTTAAAACAAGGTCAAGATATATCACAAAGTCAACATACAAGGACAATATCCCATACAGCGTAAACACACAAGGATGAAATATATCACAGCGTCAACATACAAGGACAACATACTCTACAGCGTGAACACAAGGATAAAATATATCACAGCGTCATCATACAAGGATGACATATCCTACAGCGTAAACACGTAAGGACAAAATATATTACAGCGCCAACATACAAGGAGAACATCCCTCTACAGCGTTAACACATAAGGTAAGATATATCAAAGCGCCAACATACAAGGTCAATATACCTTACATAGTGAACACACAGTCACAAAATATATTACAGCGCCAACAAACAAGGACCACATCCCCTACAGCGTTAACACACAAGGACAAAATATATTAGACCGCCAACATACAAGAACAACATACCCTACAGCGGGAACATACAATGACAAGATATATCACAGCGTCAACATACAAGCATATAAGGATAACATACCCCACAGCGTCATCATACCAGGACAACATACCCTACAGCGCCAATACCCAAGGACAACATACTCTACAGCGTGAACACGAGGATAAAATATATCACAGCGTCATCATACAAGGATGACATATCCTACAGCGTAAACACGTAAGGACAAAATATATTACAGCGCCAACATACAAGGACAACAAGGAGAACATACCGTACAGCGTTAACACAAGACAAAGATATATCACAAAGTCAACATACAAGGACAATATCCCACACAGCGTAAACACACAAGGATGAAATATATCACAGCGTCAACATACAAGGACAACATATCGTACACCGTGAACACACAAGGACAAAAAATATTACAGCGCCAACATATAAGGACAAGATACCCTACAGCGTTAAAACAAGGTCAAGATATATCACAGCGTCAACATACAAGGACAATATCCCATACAGCGTAAACACACAAGGATGAAATATATCACAGCGTCAACATACAAGAACAACATACCGTACAGCGTGAACATAAAGGGACAAAATATATCACAGCGCCAACATACAAGGACAACATGCCATACAGCACAACACCAACATACAAGGACAACATACAAGGACAACATACTCTACAGCGTGAACACACAGGGTCAAGATATATCACAGCGTCAACATACAAGAACAACATACCGTACAGCGTGAACATAAAGGGACAAAATATATCACAGCGCCAACATACAAGTAGAACATACCGTACAGCGTTAACACAAGATCAAGATATATCACAAAGTCAACATACAAGGACAAGATATATCGCAGTGTCAACAAATAAGGTCAACATACACTACAGCGTGAACACACAATGATAAAATATATTACAACACCAACATACAAGGACAACATACTCTACAGCGTGAACAAACAAGGTTAAGATATATTACAGGGCCAACATACAAGGAGAACATACTCTACAGATGAAACACACAACGATAAAATATATCATAGCGTCATCATACAAGGATGACATATCCTACAGCGTGAACATACAAGGACAAAATATATTACCGCGCCAACATACAAGGGCAACATACTCTACAGTGTGAACAAAGAATGATAAAATATATTACAGCGCCAACAAACAAGGACCACATACCCCTACAGTGCGAACAAAGAATGATAAAATATATTACCGCGCCAACATACAAGGACAACATACCCTACAGTGTGAACAAAGAATGATAAAATATATTACAGGGCCAACATACAAGGAGAACATACCCCTACAGCGTTAACACATAAGGTAAGATATATCACAGCGCCAACATACAAGGTCAATATCCCCTACATAGTGAACACACAGGCACAAAATATATTACAGCGCCAACAAACAAGGACAACATACCCTACAGCGTTAACACAAGGCCAATATATATCACAGCGTCAACATACAAGGACAACACACCCTACAGCGTTAACACAAGGTCAATATATATCACAGCGTCAACATACAAGGACAACATACCCTAAAGATGAAACACATAAGGATAAAATATATCACAGCGCCAACATCCAAGGAGAACATACTCTACAGCGTTAACACATGGTCAAGATATGTCACAGCGTCAACCCCTACATATTGAACATACAATGACAAGATATATCACAGTGTCAAAAAATAAGGTCAACATCCACTAAAGCGTGAACTCACAAAGATAAAATATATTACAACACCAACATACAAGGACAAGATACTCTACAGCGTTAACACATGGTCAAGATATGTCACAGCGTCAACCCCTACATATTGAACATACAATGACAAGATATATCACAGTGTCAAAATCCAAGGACAAGATATATCACAGTGTCAACATACAAGGACAAGATATATCGCAGTGTACACATAAGGATAAAATATATCACAGCGTCAACATACAAGGACAACATACCGTACACCGTGAACACACAAGGACAAAATATATTACAGCGCCAACATACAAGGACAAGATACCCTACAGCGTTAAAACAAGGTCAAGATATATCACAGCGTCAACATACAAGGACAATATCCCATACAGCGTAAACACACAAGGATGAAATATATCACAGCGTCAACACACAAGGACAACATACCGTACAGCGTGAACATAAAGGGACAAAATATATTACAGCGCCAACATACAAGGACAACATGCCATACAGCGTAAAAACACAAGGATAAAATATATCACAGCGTCAACATACAAGGATGACATACCCTACAGTGTGAACAAAGAAGGACAAAATATATTACAGCGCCAACATACAAGGACAACATACCCTACAGCGTAAACACAAGGTCAAGATATATCACAGCGCCAACATACAAGGAGAACATACCGTACAGCGTTAACACAAGATCAAGATATATCACAAAGTCAACATACAAGGACAAGATATATCGCAGTGTCAACAAACAAGGTCAACATACACTACAGCGTGAACACACAATGATAAAATATATTACAACACCAACATACAAGGACAACATACTCTACAGCGTGAACACACAAGGTCAAGATATATCACAGCGTCAACATACAAGGTCAACATACTCTACAGATGAAACACACAACGATAAAATATATCATAGCGTCATCATACAAGGATGACATATCCTACAGCGTGAACATACAAGGACAAAATATATTACCGCGCCAACATACAAGGGCAACATACCCTACAGTGTGAACAAAGAATGATAAAATATATTACAGTGTCAACATACAAGGACAACATACCCCTACAGCGTTAACACACAAGGTAAGATATATCACAGCGCCAACATACAAGGTCAATATACCCTACATAGTGAACACAAAGGCACAAAATATATTACAGCGCCAACATACAAGAACAACATACCCTACAGCGTGAACATACAAGGACAACATACCCCTACAGCGTTAACACAAGGGCAATATATATCACAGCGTCAAGATACAAGGACAACATCCCCCCACAGCGTTAACACACAAGGTAAGATATATCACAGCGCCAACACACCAGGTCAATATACCCTACATAGCGAACACAAAGGCACAAAATATATCACAGCGCCAACATACAGGGACAACATACCCTACAGTGTGAACGAAGAAGTATAAAATATATTATAGCGCCAACATACAAGGTCAATATATATCACAGCGTCAACATACAAGGACAACATACCCTACAGCGTGAACACACAGGGACAAAATATATTACAGCGCCAACATACAAGGCAACATACCTTAAAGATGAAACACACAAGGATAAAATATATTACAGCGCCAACATCCAAGGAGAACATACTCTACAGCGTTAACACATGGTCAAGATATGTCACAGCGTCAACATACAAGGACAAGATATATCGCAGTGTCAACATACAAGGTCATGACAAACATCACTTTTGGGGCAAACCGATAAAATATATTACAGCGCCAACATCCAAGGAGAACATACTCTATAGCGTTAACACAAGGCTAAGATATATCGCAGTGTCAACATACAAGGTCAACATACATCACAGCGTGAACACACAAGGTCAAAATATATCACAGCGCCAACATACAAGGTCAACATACCCTACACCGTGAACACACAAGAACAAAATATATTACATCGCCAACATACAATGACAACATACCCTACAGTGTAAACAGATGGATACAATATATTGTAACGCCATCATACAAGGACAACATACCCTACAGCGTGAACCCCCACGATACAATATATTACAGCGTCAACAGACAAGGACAAGATAAATCACAACATGAACACTACGGGTGAAATATATACCATATATTTAACAATGCCATGGAGTAAATAATTTGATTTAAAATGTATAGATAAGAAAAGGCATCATGAACTGAGGCGATATCACCAAGCAACCTCGTGAATGAGATTTGCTTCTGAACCAGTCAATACCCGGCAAATTTGTCAATATTGTTGAACAAAGGCTTCAGGATATGAATGTTTATTTGATATCTGACCAACAGCCGTTTTTACCAAGTTACATACTGACAAACATCACTTTTGGGGCAAACCGACGAGAATCGCCGAGCTCGGTAAGTCAGATTAAGTGCCTCGTGCCACTGCACATTCACAAGAATATCATTGTTTTCTTACCGAAAGATGGACTATCACAGTAAATGCTAGCATTCCTGTGATGGAATACTTACTGTTGAAGTTGTAGATCAGAGTCATCCACGACCTCGTACCGTGAATAGTCTTTCTGGTCATCGTTTGGGTTATTGTTACAATTACCACAGATCCCAGTTAGGTCGTTCCCATACACATTAGGTACTTGGACGATGGCGCTAGAGGCACCGTCAAACTGCACCACCAGACCACACCTGGTTTCCAACCGAACATACGTCCCACTTAAAGCTATTTCAAACTGTGCGGTCCGATAGGGAAGAAACACTAGTTTTCCATTCACCTACAAAAACAGTAGGCTACTGAATTTATACACAAGAAAAAACAAACTTGACATGCATCGTTCGAGTAATAACATTTAAACTCGGACTAACTTCAAAATATGAAGGGAAGATTGACCTAACAAAGCTCACTGTATGTTTATAACATGTAAACTGAACCTGTAGATTCCAGAAACAAGTGTTATCGGGAATTTAAACAAAGTTGTATTTCAAACAATACTAAAAAATCAAACCTAAATAGAAAATGCCATCGAAACGTTACCAAATATAATAACATACAAATTGAACCAAAAATGGGCCTTCCACTTATTCCAATTGCATACAAAAACAGTTTCAACAAAGTTTCACTTCGACAGTATTTTTCGAAACTGTAGAAATAGTCATCACTGCTGTAGTCGACACGGAAGCATTATTAACATAAACTACTGTACACAATCGTCATTTATACACAATGCTGAAGTCGACATAAGTGTTATTTAACACATTGCTGAAGTCGACATAAGTGTTATTTAACACATTGCTGAAGTCGATATAACTGTTATTTAACACATTGCTGAAGTCGACATAAGTGTTATTTAACACATTGCTGAAGTCGATATAACTGTTATTTAACACATTGATGAATTATCCATAAGTGTTATTTAACACATTGCTGAAGTCGACATAAGTGTTATTT